TCTGGCCCAGAGGAGGAGTTTTGTGTTGCATAAATTGTGAGTTCTGTGTGCCAGTAAATCAGTCTTGTTCCAGCATTAAGCCTTGGCTCATGTTTGGGGGATTGGAGAAATACACTTTGGGGATTGCTATAATCACTATACCCCAGGGTATGATCACTAAGTTCTGCTAAGAGCTTGTTCCTGCTCTCTGGGGAAAGAGAGGTTCACCCACTGGAAGCTGGATCCTGGCCTTGGGTCCAGGGTGGGTGGAGACAGCAGAGACCCCAGCGCAGTTGCATCGCTGGAAGTGGGGTCTGCAGTGCTGATGGTGTCGGTTGGAGTGCTTGAGTCCTCGGCAAGCGCTAGGAGCATCGATTGGCGGAGGTACTCAGTCGGAGTGCCGCTCAGCCATTTACACTAGGTATCTCTATATTGGGTGATGTTACACACAATTTATATTAAGTAGATGTTACACACAGTATTCTATATATTGATGATGTTACCACAGTATCCTATATTAGTGATGTTACACACGTATCCTATATTGAGGATGTTACACACAGTATTCTATATTGGATGATGTTACACACAGTATCCTATATTGGAGGATAAGCTACACACAGTACTTATATTGGAGGATGTTACATACAGTATCTCTATATTGGAGGATGTTACAATACAGTATTCCTATACATTGGAGGATGTTACACACGGTATCTCTATATTGGAGGATGTTACACACGGTATCTCTATATTGGATGATGTTACACACGGTATCTCTATATTGGATGATGTTACACACAGTATCTCTATATTGGAGGATGTTACACACAGTATCTCTATATTGGAGGATGTTACACACGGTATCTCTATATTGGGTGATGTTACACACGGTATCTCTATATTGGAGGATGTTACACACGGTATCTCTATATTGGATGATGTTACACACAGTATCTCTATATTGGATTGGAGGATGTTACACACAGTATCTCTATATTGGATGATGTTACACACAGTATCTCTATATTGGAGGATGTTACACACAGTATCTCTATATTGGGTGATGTTACACACAGTATCTCTATATTGGAGGATGTTACACACAGTATCTCTATATTGGAGGATGTTACACACGGTATCTCTATATTGGAGGATGTTACACACGGTATCTCTATATTGGATGATGTTACACACAGTATCTCTATATTGGAGGATGTTACACACAGTATCTCTATATTGGAGGATGTTACACACAGTATCTCTATATTGGATGATGTTACACACGGTATCTCTATATTGGATGATGTTACACACGGTATCTCTATATTGGAGGATGTTACACACAGTATCTCTATATTGGAGGATGTTACACACAGTATCTCTATATTGGAGGATGTTACACACGGTATCTCTATATTGGATGATGTTACACACGGTATCTCTATATTGGGTGATGTTACACACGGTATCTCTATATTGGAGGATGTTACACACAGTATCTCTATATTGGAGGATGTTACACACGGTATCTCTATATTGGGTGATGTTACACACGGTATCTCTATATTGGAGGATGTTACACACGGTATCTCTATATTGGATGATGTTACACACGGTATCTCTATATTGGATGATGTTACACACGGTATCTCTATATTGGAGGATGTTACACACGGTATCTCTATATTGGATGATGTTACACACGGTATCTCTATATTGGATGATGTTACACACAGTATCTCTATATTGGATGATGTTACACACAGTATCTCTATATTGGAGGATGTTACACACAGTATCTCTATATTGGAGGATGTTACACACAGTATCTCTATATTGGAGGATGTTACACACAGTATCTCTATATTGGGTGATGTTACACACGGTATCTCTATATTGGAGGATGTTACACACGGTATCTCTATATTGGAGGATGTTACACACAGTATCTCTATATTGGAGGATGTTACACACAGTATCTCTATATTGGGTGATGTTACACACAGTATCTCTATATTGGGTGATGTTACACACGGTATCTCTATATTGGATGATGTTACACACAGTATCTCTATATTGGGTGATGTTACACACAGTATCTCTATATTGGATGATGTTACACACAGTATCTCTATATTGGGTGATGTTACACACAGTATCTCTATATTGGGTGATGTTACACACAGTATCTCTATATTGGGTGATGTTACACACAGTATCTCTATATTGGAGGATGTTACACACGGTATCTCTATATTGGGTGATGTTACACACAGTATCTCTATATTGGAGGATGTTACACACGGTATCTCTATATTGGATGATGTTACACACGGTATCTCTATATTGGATGATGTTACACACAGTATCTCTATATTGGAGGATGTTACACACAGTATCTCTATATTGGAGGATGTTACACACAGTATCTCTATATTGGAGGATGTTACACACAGTATCTCTATATTGGAGGATGTTACACACGGTATCTCTATATTGGAGGATGTTACACACGGTATCTCTATATTGGATGATGTTACACACAGTATCTCTATATTGGATGATGTTACACACAGTATCTCTATATTGGGGATGTTACACACAGTATCTCTATATTGGATGATGTTACACACAGTATCTCTATATTGGAGGATGTTACACACAGTATCTCTATATTGGGGATGTTACACACGGTATCTCTATATTGGATGATGTTACACACGGTATCTCTATATTGGGTGATGTTACACACAGTATCTCTATATTGGATTGGAGGATGTTACACACAGTATCTCTATATTGGAGGATGTTACACACAGTATCTCTATATTGGAGGATGTTACACACAGTATCTCTATATTGGAGGATGTTACACACAGTATCTCTATATTGGAGGATGTTACACACGGTATCTCTATATTGGAGGATGTTACACACAGTATCTCTATATTGGATGATGTTACACACAGTATCTCTATATTGGAGGATGTTACACACGGTATCTCTATATTGGATGATGTTACACACGGTATCTCTATATTGGATGATGTTACACACGGTATCTCTATATTGGGTGATGTTACACACGGTATCTCTATATTGGATGATGTTACACACGGTATCTCTATACACGGTATCTCTATATTGGAGGATGTTACACACGGTATCTCTATATTGGATGATGTTACACACGGTATCTCTATATTGGATGATGTTACACACGGTATCTCTATATTGGGTGATGTTACACACGGTATCTCTATATTGGATGATGTTACACACGGTATCTCTATATTGGAGGATGTTACCGCGACATATCTCTATGTTGGAGGGATGTTACACCGCGGTATCTCTATATTGGGTGATGTTACACACAATTATCTCTATATTATTGGGTGATGTTACGCACACACGAGTATCTATATTGGGTGATGTTACACAGTATCTCTATATTGGGTGATGTTACACACAGTATCTCTATATTGGAGGATGTTACACACAGTATCTCTATATTGGGTGATGTTACACACGGTATCTCTATATTGGGTGATGTTACACACAGTATCTCTATATTGGGTGATGTTACACACAGTATCTCTATATTGGAGGATGTTACACACGGTATCTCTATATTGGAGGATGTTACACACGGTATCTCTATATTGGAGGATGTTACACACGGTATCTCTATATTGGAGGATGTTACACACGGTATCTCTATATTGGATGATGTTACACACGGTATCTCTATATTGGAGGATGTTACACACGGTATCTCTATATTGGATGATGTTACACACGGTATCTCTATATTGGATGATGTTACACACAGTATCTCTATATTGGATGATGTTACACACAGTATCTCTATATTGGAGGATGTTACACACAGTATCTCTATATTGGAGGATGTTACACACGGTATCTCTATATTGGATGATGTTACACACGGTATCTCTATATTGGGTGATGTTACACACGGTATCTCTATATTGGAGGATGTTACACACAGTATCTCTATATTGGAGGATGTTACACACAGTATCTCTATATTGGAGGATGTTACACACAGTATCTCTATATTGGAGGATGTTACACACAGTATCTCTATATTGGAGGATGTTACACACAGTATCTCTATATTGGGTGATGTTACACACGGTATCTCTATATTGGAGGATGTTACACACAGTATCTCTATATTGGGTGATGTTACACACAGTATCTCTATATTGGATGATGTTACACACAGTATCTCTATATTGGGTGATGTTACACACAGTATCTCTATATTGGATGATGTTACACACAGTATCTCTATATTGGATGATGTTACACACAGTATCTCTATATTGGATGAATGGTTTCATAGGGAGGGGCGTGGCTTAGTCTGGATGTCACGTGGCTTAGTCTGGATGTCACGTGGCTATCACTGCGCATGCGCGCTCTGGCTAGTGCGTTCCAAGAATGCAGCACATGCGCATTGCCGCCCGCTGCTACCGGAAGTGACGCTGATTCCGCGGTCCCGGGCCGGAAGTGACGCGGAGGCCAGCCATGGCGGCTGTCAGACAGCTCCGGAGAGGCGCGGAGTCCGGGATGTGACAGGAGGCGGCCTGCTCCCCCTTCCCCCCCCCCAGCTCCTCCCGGCAACCGACACCCGACCCCCGGACAGGCATGATGCGGACACCGGGGCTGCTCGGCCTACGAGGATTCGTATCGTTCGCCGCCAAACTGTGGAGCTTCGTCCTCTACCTCCTCCGGAGACAAGTCCGCACCGTGAGTGTCATATAATATATATACTGTATAATGAGAGACCCAGGCCGCACCGTGAGTGTAATATAATATATATACTGTATAATGAGAGACCCAGGCCGCACCGTGAGTGTAATACAATATATATACTGTATAATGAGAGACCCAGGCCGCACCGTGAGTGTCATATAATATATATACTGTATAATGAGAGACCCAGGCCGCACCGTGAGTGTAATACAATATATATACTGTATAATGAGAGACCCAGGCCGCACCGTGAGTGTCATATAATATATATACTGTATAATGAGAGACCCAGGCCGCACCGTGAGTGTAATATAATATATATACTGTATAATGAGAGACCCAGGCCGCACCGGGAGTGTAATACAATATATATACTGTATAATGAGAGACCCAGGCCGCACCGGGAGTGTAATATAATATATATACTGTATAATGAGAGACCCAGGCCGCACCGTGAGTGTCATATAATATATATACTGTATAATGAGAGACCCAGGCCGCACCGTGAGTGTCATATAATATATATACTGTATAATGAGAGAACCAGGCCGCACCGTGAGTGTAATATAATATATATACTGTATAATGAGAGACCCAGGCCGCACCGTGAGTGTCATATAATATATATACTGTATAATGAGAGACCCAGGCCGCACCGTGAGTGTAATATAATATATATACTGTATAATGAGAGACCCAGTCCGCACCGTGAGTGTCATATAATATATATACTGTATAATGAGAGACCCAGGCCGCACCGTGAGTGTAATATAATATATATACTGTATAATGAGAGACCCAGGCCGCACCGTGAGTGTAATATAATATATATACTGTATAATGAGAGACCCAGGCCGCACCGTGAGTGTAATATAATATATATACTGTATAATGAGAGACCCAGGCCGCACCGTGAGTGTAATATAATATATATACTGTATAATGAGAGACCCAGGCCGCACCGGGAGTGTCATATAATATATATACTGTATAATGAGAGAACCAGGCCGCACCGGGAGTGTCATGCAATATATATACTGTATAATGAGAGACCCAGGCCGCACCGTGAGTGTAATATATATATATATATATACTGTATAATGAGAGACCCAGGCCGCACCGGGAGTGTCATATAATATATATACTGTATAATGAGAGACCCAGGCCGCACCGGGAGTGTCATATAATATATATACTGTATAATGAGAGACCCAGGCCGCACCGGGAGTGTAATATAATATATATACTGTATAATGAGAGACCCAGGCCGCACCGTGAGTGTAATATAATATATATACTGTATAATGAGAGACCCAGGCCGCACCGTGAGTGTAATATAATATATATACTGTATAATGAGAGACCCAGGCCGCACCGTGAGTGTAATATAATATATATACTGTATAATGAGAGACCCAGGCCGCACCGTGAGTGTAATATAATATATATACTGTATAATGAGAGACCCAGGCCGCACCGTGAGTGTAATATAATATATATACTGTATAATGAGAGACCCAGGCCGCACCGTGAGTGTCATATAATATATATACTGTATAATGAGAGACCCAGGCCGCACCGTGAGTGTAATATAATATATATACTGTATAATGAGAGACCCAGGCCGCACCGTGAGTGTCATATAATATATATACTGTATAATGAGAGACCCAGGCCGCACCGTGAGTGTCATATAATATATATACTGTATAATGAGAGACCCAGGCCGCACCGTGAGTGTCATATAATATATATACTGTATAATGAGAGACCCAGGCCGCACCGTGAGTGTCATATAATATATATACTGTATAATGAGAGACCCAGGCCGCACCGGGAGTGTAATATAATATATATACTGTATAATGAGAGACCCAGGCCGCACCGTGAGTGTCATATAATATATATACTGTATAATGAGAGACCCAGGCCGCACCGTGAGTGTCATATAATATATATACTGTATAATGAGAGACCCAGGCCGCACCGTGAGTGTCATATAATATATATACTGTATAATGAGAGACCCAGGCCGCACCGTGAGTGTAATATAATATATATACTGTATAATGAGAGACCCAGGCCGCACCGTGAGTGTCATATAATATATATACTGTATAATGAGAGACCCAGGCCGCACCGTGAGTGTAATATAATATATATACTGTATAATGAGAGACCCAGGCCGCACCGTGAGTGTAATATAATATATATACTGTATAATGAGAGACCCAGGCCGCACCGTGAGTGTAATATAATATATATACTGTATAATGAGAGACCCAGGCCGCACCGTGAGTGTAATATAATATATATACTGTATAATGAGAGACCCAGGCCGCACCGTGAGTGTAATATAATATATATACTGTATAATGAGAGACCCAGGCCGCACCGTGAGTGTCATATAATATATATACTGTATAATGAGAGACCCAGGCCGCACCGTGAGTGTCATATAATATATATACTGTATAATGAGAGACCCAGGACAAGACCGCGGAGTGTAATATAATATATATACTGTATAATGAGAGACCCAGGCCGCGACCGCGGAGTGTCATATAATATATATACTGTATAAATGAGAGACCCAGGTCGCACCGGGAGTGTCATATAACATATATATTCTGTATAATGAGAGACCCAGGCCGCGACCGCGGAGTGTAATATAATATATATATACTGTATAATGAGACCCAGGCCGCGCGACTGCGGAGTGTCAAGTAAGGCAATATATATACTGTATAATGAGAGACCCAGGCCGCACCGTGAGTGTAATATAATATATATACTGTATAATGAGAGACCCAGGCCGCACCGGGAGTGTAATATAATATATATACTGTATAATGAGAGACCCAGGCCGCACCGTGAGTGTCATATAATAGATATACTGTATAATGAGAGACCCAGGCCGCACCGTGAGTGTAATATAATATATATACTGTATAATGAGAGACCCAGGCCGCACCGGGAGTGTCATATAATATATATACTGTATAATGAGAGACCCAGGCCCCAGGCTGCACCGTGAGTGTCATATAATATATATTCTGTATAATGAGAGACCAGGCCGCACCGTGAGTGTAATATATATATACTGTATAATGAGAGACCCAGGCCGCACCGTGAGTGTCATATAATATATATACTGTATAATGAGAGAACCAGGCCGCACCGTGAGTGTCATATAATATATATACTGTATAATGAGAGAACCAGGCCGCACCGTGAGTGTCATATAATATATATACTGTATAATGAGAGAACCAGGCCGCACCGTGAGTGTCATATAATATATATACTGTATAATGAGAGACCCAGGCCGCACCGTGAGTGTCATATAATATATATACTGTATAATGAGAGACCCAGGCCGCACCGTGAGTGTCATATAATATATATACTGTATAATGAGAGACCCAGGCCGCACCGTGAGTGTAATATATATATATACTGTATAATGAGAGACCCAGGCCGCACCGTGAGTGTCATATAATATATATACTGTATAATGAGAGACCCAGGCTGCATTGGTAGTGTATATAATATATATATACCACCCAGGCCGCACCGTGGAGTGTATATATAATATATATAAGAGACCCAGGCCGCATGTCGAGAGACCCAGTGCCATATAATATATATACTGTATAATGAGACCCAGGCCGTCATATAATATATATACTGTATAATGAGAGTGGTGTCATATAATATATATACACTGTAGTGAGACCCAGGCAGCACCGGAGTGTCATATAATATATATACTGTATAATGAGAGAACCAGGCCGCACCGTGAGTGTATATATATATATACTGTATAATGAGAGAACCAGGCCGCACCGTGAGTGTAATATAATATATATACTGTATAATGAGAGACCCAGGCCGCACCGTGAGTGTAATATAATATATATACTGTATAATGAGAGACCCAGGCCGCACCGTGAGTGTAATATAATATATATACTGTATAATGAGAGACCCAGGCCGCACCGTGAGTGTAATATAATATATATACTGTATAATGAGAGACCCAGGCCGCACCGGGAGTGTAATATAATATATATACTGTATAATGAGAGACCCAGGCCGCACCGGAGTGTAATATAATATATATACTGTATAATGAGAGACCCAGTCCGCACCGTGAGTGTCATATAATATATATATACTGTATAATGAGAGACCCAGGCCGCACCGGGAGTGTAATATAATATATATACTGTATAATGAGAGACCCAGGCCGCACCGTGAGTGTCATATAATATATATACTGTATAATGAGAGACCCAGGCCGCACCGGGAGTGTCATATAATATATATACTGTATAATGAGAGACCCAGGCCGCACCGTGAGTGTCATATAATATATATACTGTATAATGAGAGAACCAGGCCGCACCGTGAGTGTAATACAATATATATACTGTATAATGAGAGACCCAGGCCGCACCGGGAGTGTCATATAATATATATACTGTATAATGAGAGAACCAGGCCGCACCGTGAGTGTAATACAATATATATACTGTATAATGAGAGAACCCAGGCCGCACCGTGAGTGTAATATAATATATATACTGTATAATGAGAGACCCAGGCCGCACCGTGAGTGTCATATAATATATATACTGTATAATGAGAGACCCAGGCCGCACCGTGAGTGTAATATAATATATATACTGTATAATGAGAGACCCAGGCCGCACCGTGAGTGTCATATAATATATATACTGTATAATGAGAGACCCAGGCCGCACCGTGAGTGTCATATAATATATATACTGTATAATGAGAGACCCAGGCCGCACCGGGAGTGTAATATAATATATATACTGTATAATGAGAGACCCAGGCCGCACCGTGAGTGTAATATAATATATATACTGTATAATGAGAGACCCAGGCCGCACGGTGTCATATAATATATATGCTGTATAATGAGAGAACCAGGCCCTTTACCGAGTGTAATATAATATATATACTGTATATTAGAGACCCAGGCCGCTTTTACGTGAGTGTCATATAATATATATACTGTATAATGAGACCCAGAGCCCTTTACGTGAGTGTAATATAATATATATACTGTATAATGAGGCAGAGCGCACCGTAGTGTCATATAATATATATACTGTATAATAGAGAGACCCAGAGCCTTTACGTGAGTGTAATATAATATATACTGTATAATAGAGACCAGTCCGCTGCCCGTGAGTGTCATATAATATACTGTATAATAGAGACCCAGGCACTTTGGGGTGTCATATAATATATATACTGTATAATGAGAGACCCAGGCCGCACCGTGAGTGTAATATAATATATATATACTGTATAATGAGAGAACCAGGCCGCACCGGGAGTGTAATATAATATATATACTGTATAATGAGAGACCCAGGCCGCACCGGGAGTGTCATATAATATATATACTGTATAATGAGAGAACCAGGCCGCACCGGGAGTGTCATACAATAGATATACTGTATAATGAGAGACCCAGGCCGCACCGGGAGTGTAATATAATATATATACTGTATAATGAGAGAACCAGGCCGCACCGGGAGTGTCATATAATATATATATATACTGTATAATGAGAGACCCAGGCCGCACCGTGAGTGTCATATAATATATATATACTGTATAATGAGAGAACCAGGCCGCACCGTGAGTGTAATACAATATATATACTGTATAATGAGAGACCCAGGCCGCACCGGGAGTGTCATATAATATATATATATATATACTGTATAATGAGAGAACCAGGCCGCACCGTGAGTGTAATACAATATATATACTGTATAATGAGAGACCCAGGCCGCACCGGGAGTGTCATATAATATATATATACTGTATAATGAGAGAACCAGGCCGCACCGGGAGTGTCATACAATATATATATACTGTATAATGATAGAACCAGGCCGCACCGGGAGTGTAATATAATATATATACTGTATAATGAGAGAACCAGGCCGCACCGGGAGTGTAATATAATATATATACTGTATAATGAGAGACCCAGGCCGCACCGTGAGTGTCATATAATATATATACTGTATAATGAGAGACCCAGGCCGCACCGGGAGTGTCATATAATATATATACTGTATAATGAGAGACCCAGGCCGCACCGTGAGTGTAATATAATATATATACTGTATAATGAGAGACCCAGGCCGCACCGTGAGTGTCATATAATAGATATACTGTATAATGAGAGACCCAGGCCGCACCGTGAGTGTAATATAATATATATACTGTATAATGAGAGACCCAGGCCGCACCGTGAGTGTCATATAATATATATACTGTATAATGAGAGACCCAGGCCGCACCGGGAGTGTCATATAATATATATACTGTATAATGAGAGACCCAGGCCGCACCGTGAGTGTAATATAATATATATACTGTATAATGAGAGACCCAGGCCGCACCGTGAGTGTCATACAATATATATATACTGTATAATGAGAGAACCAGGCCGCACCGGGAGTGTCATATAATATATATACTGTATAATGAGAGACCCAGGCCGCACCGTGAGTGTCATATAATATATATACTGTATAATGAGAGACCCAGGCCGCACCGCGAGTGTAATATAATATATATACTGTATAATGAGAGACCCAGGCCGCACCGTGAGTGTCATATAATATATATACTGTATAATGAGAGACCCAGGCCGCACCGTGAGTGTAATATAATATATATACTGTATAATGAGAGACCCAGGCCGCACCGTGAGTGTCATATAATATATATACTGTATAATGAGACCCAGGCCGCACCGGGAGTGTAATATAATATATATACTGTATAATGAGAGAACCAGGCCGCACTGTGAGTGTCATATAATATATATACTGTATAATGAGACCCAGGCCGCACCGGGAGTGTAATATAATATATATACTGTATAATGAGACCCAGGCCGCACCGGGAGTGTCATATAATATATATACTGTATAATGAGAGACCCAGGCCGCACCGTGAGTGTCATATAATATATATACTGTATAATGAGAGAACCAGGCCGCACCGGGAGTGTCATATAATATATATACTGTATAATGAGAGACCCAGGCCGCACCGTGAGTGTCATATAATATATATACTGTATAATGAGAGAACCAGGCCGCACCGGGAGTGTCATATAATATATATACTGTATAATGAGAGAACCAGGCCGCACCGTGAGTGTCATATAATATATATACTGTATAATGAGAGAACCAGGCCGCACCGTGAGTGTAATATAATATATATACTGTATAATGAGAGAACCAGGCCGCACCGTGAGTGTCATATAATATATATACTGTATAATGAGAGACCCAGGCCGCACCGTGAGTGTCATATAATATATATACTGTATAATGAGAGACCCAGGCCGCACCGGGAGTGTAATATAATATATATACTGTATAATGAGAGACCCAGCCGCACCGTGAGTGTCATATAATATATATACTGTATAATGAGAGACCCAGGCCGCACCGTGAGTGTCATATAATATATATACTGTATAATGAGAGAACCAGGCCGCACCGGGAGTGTCATATAATATATATACTGTATGAGAGACCCAGGCCGCACCGTGAGTGTAATATAATATATATACTGTATGAGAGAACCAGGCCGCACCGGGAGTGTCATATAATATATATACTGTATAATGAGAGAACCAGGCCGCACCGTGAGTGTAATATAATATATATACTGTATAATGAGAGAACCAGGCCGCACCGTGAGTGTAATATAATATATATACTGTATAATGAGAGAACCAGGCCGCACCGTGAGTGTCATATAATATATATATACTGTATAATGAGAGACCCAGGCCGCACCGTGAGTGTAATATAATATATATACTGTATAATGAGAGACCCAGGCCGCACCGTGAGTGTCATATAATATATATACATGAGTGTAATATATATATACTGTATAATGAGAGACCCAGGCCGCACCGGGAGTGTAATATAATATATATACTGTATAATGAGAGAACCAGGCCGCACCGTGAGTGTCATATAATATATATACTGTATAATGAGAGACCCAGGCCGCACCGTGAGTGTAATATAATATATATACTGTATAATGAGAGACCCAGGCCGCACCGGGAGTGTAATATAATATATATACTGTATAATGAGAGAACCAGGCCGCACCGGGAGTGTCATATAATATATATACTGTATAATGAGAGAACCAGGCCGCACCGTGAGTGTAATATAATATATATACTGTATAATGAGAGAACCAGGCCGCACCGGGAGTGTAATGTAATATATATACTGTATAATGAGAGAAAAGTAGCTACTCAAACATATTATTTTGGTACGTTGAGTCTATTCCTGTTCAAACCAAAACAGAAATGCATTCGCCATAGCAGCCCCATCACAGTCCCAGCTGTTTGCAAACAGATGTGTTCTTAGTGTCCATTCCATGATACATAGAAACATAGAATGTGACGGCAGATAAGAACCATTCGGCCCATCTATTCTGCCCAATTTTCTAAATAGAATACAGAATGTAATGTCGGGAGATGTATTCTTACTGCCAATTCCATGATACAGAATGTTAATGTCTGGAGATGTGTTCTTAGTGCACATTCCATGATACAGAATGTAATGTCGGGAGATGTGTTCTTAGTGCTCATTCCATGATACAGAATGTAATGTGGGGAGAAGTGTTCTTGGTTTGTTTGTTTTCGATGATACAGGCTGTAATGCTGGTGTAGCAGAGTTAATCCCTTTTCTTCTGTGTACCCCCCTTGTTCGTTTCCGGAATAGATGGTGTGTAGCCCCGCTTTTTATACTTTTTTTTTTTTTTTATACCTCCTCTAACACCGACCTCCCTGGCTGTTAACCACAAATTAACACATTAACTTTCCATGGGTGGCTGCCATTTGTATAACCAATTGCATGTGGTCCAGTGAATGGCTGCCATTTTGTCTCCCGAACACAGGCAGCGGTACGTGGTCATCGAACGCCTGGAACTATTTTCGTCTAAGTGAGTCCACAAACCCGGGCGGAGTTCGTACCGCTGCCCGTTCTACTTTCCGACTAACTACACAAACGACGTTCGGGAGAAATGAACTACTGACTGGGGGGAGCATTCTCTACCTAAAAGGCAGGAGGAGCATTCGTCTGTGTTCGCACAGGTCGGTCAGAACTTTACTCGAATGGCGATTCCGTTCTGCTGAATGCAATCTGAGCGCTGTTTGGATATGTTAGACGCTCAGATCAGCGCTATTTGGGGATATAAGAATTGTGGGGTTCCTGTGAATTATGACAGTTTTTGGGGTATTTTGTATACATGCTTTATATTTTCCTGTACCTGAGAGATAATTGAGTTACTCAGTTTTGACCCCACTATCTCTCAGACACAGGGATGCCTGGGAAGGGTTTGTGTATTTTTTGTATATAGAGACCCCATGCTGGGGGACTGTGCATAAAAGGCTGTGTTTGAGCTGAATAAATCAGTTGTTCCTCTAGAACTGTGTGTCGTCCAGTTACTGTGAGGGATAGAGCTATTCACATTTCAGTCCCTTGTTCCAGAGTTCCTGGCTTCACGGATCCAGCGGAGAGAAAAGTCCTTGTCAGGACTAGTGCTCTGCTACAGTCAGGAGATGATAGTGCCCATTAGACTCCTTAATACAGGGTGTAGCGGAACGCTGGTCTCTCACAGACTATTTCCGCTGGTAGTCCAGGTGTGGCTCAGGAATCAGCAATAATCCCAGGTACAATATCCACACCGAGAGAATAACCGAACAGCATAGTAATCACCATCAGCAATAAAATCCAATAATATCCCATCACCTTTCCCAATCACTGGACGACACACAGTATCAGGAGTAGAACTTTTATTCACACAGTGGCCTTATAAAGCATTCTCCCATGCAAGGGAGGGATTTACAGTCATTAGTACAGTGTCCAATCATACCTGAGTAACCTCCCACACATCTCCTCCCTTTAGCCTGACTCAGAATCCTCTTATACAGAACACAAATTCCCTGGGTTTATGGATGTACCCCTAAACATAGGTATACCCCTTTGTGACAGAACCATCTGTCTGCTGGATTTTTGCCCGTTCGTCTGTTTGTCCCCGTTCGTATGAATGGCTGGTTTCTATAGCCCAGCCATTCGAATGACTCTTTTTCCCGAACAAAACCGCCGAACGAACGGCCACCCAAGTGAGGAGTGTGCTGCAGGTTAACGAAGTGATCACCATTATAACGTTGTGGTTAACCGCAGACACTTCTCAATTAAACCGAACTCAGGGTGGTCGTCGTTCGTATGTCGACCACGAGGCAGCGGCCATTTTAAATCATGCGAACGCTCAGCGGTGTTTGGCTCTAATTCTATGGAACGGAAAACGGACACTTTTTCTGTCGAACACCGCTGAAACAAGGGAACGCCTGGCTGCCTCCACGAAAGCATGCGAACATCGGCCGTTCGGGAGATTGAGAACATACAAAAGACTTAACCCAGATAGCCCACCCATGGAGTCATTCGTGTACCGAAGGACTGTAAGAACTTTGACTCCATGGCGATTGAACTATGTGTGTGGGATCTGAGCGCTATTCGCCAATAATATGCACTCAGACCCAGGCTATCTGGGGACATGTAATACGAATGGGAAATGTTCAGTTTTCATGTAGTTATGCATTTTTGTGTCTTTTATTATTTCATGTTTAAGATGGCGACTGTCCTTGTCCTGGAGTTAATTGAGTTACTTGGTAATTAACTCCAGGACAGAGGGGAGGGAATCAGAATGCACTGTGGGTAAAATATGTGACTGTGTGTCTGAAATGTCCTTCTATCTGTCTGTAATTTAAGTCTTCCATTTGGTCCCCTAGGGGAGTGTCCACCAGGTGGGAGACCTGCATAAATACGGGCAGGTAGCCCACAGTAAAACCAGATCTTATTTGACCCTCAATGCGGAGCTTCTGTCTCGTTATTGGGGGGATTTCTTCTTCACGGTTAGAGACTGCTGGATGGAACGAAAGCCGCTTTGGGGATATTATTGTTCGACGGTTCCTAGCAGTTCGTATATTGCCGTTCGGGAGTTTGGAGCCGTTCGTGGATTTCGATCGGGAGATTGCCGCTTCCCCTGCATTACGTTCGTGGATTATAGAGTAAGCGAACAGAGACGGTACTGCAGCCGGGGAAGGTTTACTAAACGGCGGTTTGACTTAGACACGGGAGGTGTCTTAACACCCTTTAAATGTTATATCCCCTGGTAGCCCTGATCTGGGTGAGAGACATATCCAAAAATCACCCAGATATCATCCAGGTATGCACATGCAAAATCCTGGAAGCCATCGAGGAGCCTATCCACCATACGCTGGAACGTATCCGGAGCATTCTTCATCCCAAATGGCATAACCTTTTAAATGTAAACACTACTGTTACGGTACCTCCAGTACGGAAATGTACAAACCGCCGTTTAGCGAGTATTCCCTGTTCGCAATAATGTGGTCGGGTAGCGGGTATAATAAAACCATGCGAACCGCCAGTCAGGGAACACTCCAAACTCCCGAACGGTACCTGTACGGCTAATTCCCTTCACGAGCTGCAAATCCACGAACGGCAATTAGTAACCGAACGACAATATCTCCCAAGCGGCAAATAATCCAAATAAGCAGTCTCTCGCCGCTGGTATCCAAATCCCCCCAATAACGAGACCAAGCTCCGCTTTGAGGGTAAAACACGAACTGATTTACTGTGGGCTACCTGCCCGGTATTTATGCAGGTCTCCCACTTGGTGGACACTCCCCTAGGGGACCAAATGGGAGACTGAAATCACAGAGGGACATGGGGACATTTTGGACATACATCCCCACAATATTCCCAGCATGCATCACAGTTCCCTCCCCTCTGCTCGAGGGATAATTGGGAAGTAACTCAATTATCTCCCCGAGCAGAGGCAATCGCCATTTTAAACACAAGTCACAAAAACACATGAAAATCCATAACTTCATAACTGCCGAACATATTACATTCGTATTGCATATCCCCAGATAGCCTGGATCTGAGGGCACATTATTGAAGAATAGCGCTCAGATCCCATTCGCACAGTTCAATCGCCATGGAGTCAAAGTCTCTTTCAGTTCGTCGGTATGCGATTGACTCCATGGGACGGCTATCTGGGTTAAGTCCATTCGTGTGGTTGAATCTCCCGAACGGCTGGCATTCGTATGCTTTTGTCGATTGAGAAGGGGAGGTCGACGGCTTCAGCGGTGTTCGGCTGAAAAAGTGTCCGTTTTCCGATCCATGAAATAATCGTCGAACACCGCTGGTCGTTCGCATGGACAAAATGGCCGCCGCCTCGTGGTCGACATACGAACGACGACCACCCGGCATTCGGTTTTAATTGAGAAGTGTCTGTGGTTAACCGCAACGTTCTAATTGGGATCAATAGGTTAACCAGCAGCACACTTCTCTTCTGGGTGGCCATCCGTTCGGTAGTTCCGTTCGACAAAACCGACATTCCCTTGAATAAAGCATACGAATGGGGAAATTCATGTAACCGGCAAAACAGGCGAACACAGCATTTATAATCCAGACAGATGGGTCTGTCACACGGCTCCCCCCTTGTGGAACACTCCGGCAGACCCGGCTTGACCCTTTGGCGGGTCAACTTGGGGATGACCGGACTGGGAAGAAGTAGGGACGTCTGTTTGCCGGGACAGCCCATCCGCGTTCCCATTCTGCTTACCGGGTCGGTAGCTGATGGTGAAGTTTGTAAGGCTGTAGTGCCAAACTCCACCTCAGCAGTCTGCCATTGTCTCCTGAGACCCGGTTAAGCCAGACAAGGGGGTTATGGTCCGTAATAAGGGAGAATTCTTGTCCGTATAAATATGGGCTCAATTTCTTCAGTGCCCAGACCAGGGCTAAACACTCTTTCTCCACTGCCGCATAACTTACTTCCCGGGTAGTAACTTTCTGCTTAAGTATGCGACAGGGTGCTCTCCTCCATCTTCCCCGACCTGGCTTAGCACAGCCCCCAGTCCATACATGGAAGCATCTGTATGTACAAGAAAACGTTTGTTAGGGACTGGGGCAGCCAGGACAGGAGCATTAACAAGAGCCTGCTTAAGTGCTTGAAACGCGGCTTCACAAGCTGGAGACCACAGGACCTGCTTAGGCAAATTCTTCTTAGTCAGGTCAGTCAAGGGCTTAGCAACCGTACTGTAGTCAGGGACAAAACGTCGGTAATACCCTGCCGTCCCCAAGAAGGCCAGCACTTGGGTCTTGGTGATAGGTGTGGGCCAGTTAGCCACCGCCTCTACCTTGGCTGGCTCCGGTCTCTGGCTCCCACAGCCTACTCTGTGACCCAAGTACTGTACTTCTGCCATGCCTAGATGGCACTTGTCTGGCTTCAAGGTCAGGCCTGCGGCCCGAATCTTGTCCAGCACCACCCCCACGTGTACTAAATGGTCTTCCCAGGACTCACTGTAGACCGCAATATCATCCAGGTATGCACATGCAAAATCCTGGAAGCCATCGAGGAGCCTATCCACCATACGCTGGAACGTATCCGGAGCATTCTTCATCCCAAATGGCATAACCTTAAATTGGTACAGGCCAAATGGGGTGACGAATGCCGACTTAGGGATAGCATCCTCGGCCAGGGGGATCTGCCAATAACCTTTACACAGGTCAATGGTGGTCAAGTAGCGCCCCCTGGCAATGCGGTCTAATAACTCGTCTACCCGGGGCATAGGGTAGGCGTCAGTGATGGTCCGCTCGTTGAGCCGCCTGTAGTCCACACAGAACCGGGTGGTCCCATCTTTCTTAGGCACCAGAACTACAGGCGAGGCCCAAGGACTGTCTGAGTGTTCGATAACCCCCAGCCTGGTCATCTCCTGTATCTCCGTCCGCATTCCTTCTCGGACTGCTTCAGGGATACGGTATGGGGGTTGTCGTAGGGGGTTCTGTCCGGGTGTCTCGACCTTGTGTACAGCTAGGGTAGTGTACCCGGGTTCTTGGGAGAACGTCGCCTGCTTCTCCCACAGTAACTGTCTCGCCTGTACCTTCTCTGCCGGGTTTAGCCGGTCCCCTAGCTGTACAAGACTAGTAAGGTCTGTCTGGGGGTCTCTCTCTAGCAAGTCAGGTAACGGTAAGTTCTCGGGGTCGTCAGTAGCTGGGGCACATACCGCCGCAACATCCTCTGGTCGTTCCTGATACTCCTTCAGCATGTTCACATGGAAGGATCGCTGAATCCTTTCATCTGAACAGCTGGCTATAAGGTAGGTAGTATTGCATACCTGAGCTAACACTTTATATGGGCCCTGCCAAGATGCTTGCATCTTGTCTGTCTTCACAGGCTTGAGTACCAGAACCTTCTGCCCAACCTGGAAGACCCGCTGTCGGGCACCCCGATCGTACCACCATTTCTGTCTCCCCTGGGCCACCTGGAGATTCTCCCTGACCATCAGGGATAGTTTCTCCATGCGGTCCCGGAGCTCCAGGACATATGGTACTATGGGAGTCCCTTCTTGCTCTGTCTCCCCCTCCCAGTGTCCTCTAATGAGATCTAGGGGTCCACGGACCCTTCTCCCATAGAGTAACTCAAAGGGGGAGAACCCAGTAGATTCCTGGGGCACCTCTCTGTATGCAAATAGCAGATGAGGCAGGAATCGCTCCCAATCTCTGCAAGTGTCAGTAAAGGTCCTCAACATCTGTTTGAGGGTGCCATTAAATCGCTCGCAGAGACCGTTAGTCTGTGGGTGATACGGTGAGCTAAGCAGAGGTTTAATACCGCACACCTTCCACAGCTGCTGGGTAAGCACAGCGGTGAACTGGGTTCCCTGATCGGAGAGAATCTCCTGAGGGAACCCGACCCTAGTGAAGATTTTAACCAGGGCATCAGCAACCGTCTCTGCCTCTATATTAGACAGCGCTACTGCCTCTGGATAACGTGTGGCATAGTCTACCACGGTGAGAATATACTTCTTACCTGATGGGCTAGCCCTGGCCAGTGGACCCACAATGTCAACAGCTATGCGGGAAAAGGGTTCTCCAATAATAGGCATCGACTGAAGCCTAGCTTTTGGGTGATCCCCCCGCTTACCTACCCGTTGACAAGTGTCACACGTGCTACAGTAAACCCGCACATCTCGGTTAAAATTGGGCCAGAAGAAATTTTGTGTGATCCTATGAGCTGTGCGGCGGGAACCTAGATGGCCTGCTAATGGCACATCGTGCCCAATCCGCAGAATCTCCTGCCGGTATTTTGCAAGCACCACTAGCTGTCGATTCTGCGGAGGGGTACTCGGCTTCTGGGACGGTTTCGGGATCCTGTACAATCTATCCCCCATCCACTCGTAGTGCTCCCCATCTACTCCTCCCCCAGAATCGGCCCTGGCCCTGTACTTGGCTAGCGTCGGGTCTTCCCTGGTTTCCCTCCCGTACATCTCTGGGGTATCCCAGCCTAAAGGGGCCTGGTCTAAGGTACAAGTCGGGGGAGAGAGTCTTACCTGGGTCTCAGCAGCAGGTGGGCTGGTCTCAGCGGCACGGGTCTGGGCATGGGTCGTGACAGCATCCACTTCAGCAGGACCCATGGGAGCGTAGGCGGAAACAAGGGGCGCCAAGTCATTGCCAAGGAGGAAATCCGCGGGTAAGTCCTTCATGACCCCCACATTCACATGTCTGGCGCCCACTCCCCAATCCAAATGTACCCGGGCAACGGGCAGACGAAACACTGCACCCCCGGCCACTCGCACTGCGACCGTGTCCCCTGTATGTTGGGCTTCGGATACCAGGTGCTTCTGGAGCAAGGTCATGGTTGCCCCGGTATCCCATAGACCACTGACCTCCTTCCCGTTGACTTTTACACACTGTCGGTGGTGCTGCCTGTTATCCCGGTGGGCAGCCTGAACGGGGTCTGCCTCATGCAGCATGCCCCAGCACTCTTCTTCCTCTACACAGTGAGCGGTTGGGGTGGGAGGTCGTGGATTGCCGCCGGCTGGTCTCCTCCAGGACTGGTTCTGGTTGGCGCTGTTCATCGGACACTCGGGTCGCTTGTGCCCTAGTTGCTTGCACAGGTAGCACCGAATGGGTTGGGCATACTCCCGTGAATTGAACCGAGGTGGCTGTTGGTACGGTGCAGATGGAGGAGGTGCTGCTGGGCGATGCATTGGAGGCTGGTATAGGTTGGCTGCTGGTGGGGCTGCTGGCCTGTACTCCACTCTGGCGCGAGCCTTGTTGATGAGACTGTCCAGTTTGCGGGCGTCAGTATACTCATCCGCCAGGGGAGCGGCTTCGTGCAGAGTGGAGGGTTTACGGTCCCTTACCCACTCCCTGACCCCGGCTGGCAATTTATCGAAACAATGTTCCAAAAGAAACATCTGCAGCACCTCTTCTCCGGACACAGCCTGGCACCCCGCCATCCAATGGGCGGCTGTGCGATGCACCTTACATGCCCATTCCACGTATGAGTCCCCAGAGGTCTTGACAGTGTCTCGGAACCTCCTGCGGTACGCCTCAGGTGTAACGGCATACCGGGAGAGTAAAGCTTCCCTGACGGCCACATAATCCCCAATCTCCTCATCAGGAATGGTCCGGAAAGCCTCGCTGGCCCGGCCTGATAACTTGCCGGACAATATAGTAACCCATTCTTCCAGGGGTACCTTGTGTAGGGCACATTGCCGCTCGAAATCAGCAAGGTACCCATCAATCTCTACTTCTGTTTCACTGAAGGCTTTAAACGCAGTAAACGGTACCTTTTTCCTATCTCCCGGGTTTGCTGTGACTGGGGCTGCTGCAGCACCGCTTTGGCGAAGCAGGTTGGCCTCCACAGCTGCCATGACCCGGCCAATGGTTTCTGTTGTTGGGTTGGGACCATAATGTGCCAGCCTGATTCTTACCGCCCGGTCAAAGCTTGCCTCCTCGGGGGTTCTGTCAGCTGCGCTGGGTCCATTGGTTCCCTCTGCCGCTGGTACTCCATCCATTTCCAGCAATAACGCAATAATATCCCTCTTCCTGAGGTTACTGGCTTGTCCCCCTCTTTGCTCCTATAAATCCTTTAGGGTAGCCCTCCTCAGGTTTTGGTATTGTAATTCCATTTAGTCTTGGTTGTAGTGGTCTCTTTGGGCGTTGAGGATCATCCCGTCGCTTGCCACCAGTTGTTACGGTACCTCCAGTACGGAAATGTACAAACCGCCGTTTAGCGAGTATTCCCTGTTCGCAATAATGTGGTCGGGTAGCGGGTATAATAAAACCATGCGAACCGCCAGTCAGGGAACACTCCAAACTCCCGAACGGTACCTGTACGGCTAATTCCCTTCACGAGCTGCAAATCCACGAACGGCAATTAGTAACCGAACGACAATATCTCCCAAGCGGCAAATAATCCAAATAAGCAGTCTCTCGCCGCTGGTATCCAAATCCCCCCAATAACGAGACCAAGCTCCGCTTTGAGGGTAAAACACGAACTGATTTACTGTGGGCTACCTGCCTGGTATTTATGCAGGTCTCCCACTTGGTGGACACTCCCCTAGGGGACCAAATGGGAGACTGAAATCACAGAGGGACATGGGGACATTTTGGACATACATCCCCACAATATTCCCAGCAGGCATCACAGTTTCCTCCCCTCTGCTCGAGGGATAATTGGGAAGTAACTCAATTATCTCCCCGAGCAGAGGCAATCGCCATTTTAAACACAAGTCACAAAAACACATGAAAATCCATAACTTCATAACTGCCGAACATATTACATTCGTATTGCCTATCCCCAGATAGCCTGGATCTGAGGGCACATTATTGAAGAATAGCACTCAGATCCCATTCGCACAGTTCAATCGCCATGGAGTCAAAGTCTCTTTCAGTTCGTCGGTATGCGATTGACTCCATGGGACGGCTATCTGGGTTAAGTCCATTCGTGTGGTTGAATCTCCCGAACGGCTGGCATTCGTATGCTTTTGTCGATTGAGAAGGGGAGGTCGACGGCTTCAGCGGTGTTCGGCTGAAAAAGTGTCCGTTTTCCGATCCATGAAATAATCGTCGAACACCGCTGGTCGTTCGCATGGACAAAATGGCCGCCGCCTCGTGGTCGACATACGAACGACGACCACCCGGCATTCGGTTTTAATTGAGAAGTGTCTGTGGTTAACCGCAACGTTCTAATTGGGATCAATAGGTTAACCAGCAGCACACTTCTCTTCTGGGTGGCCATCCGTTCGGTAGTTCCGTTCGACAAAAACCGACATTCCCTTGAATAAAGCATACGAATGGGGAAATTCATGTAACCGGCAAAACAGGCGAACACAGCATTTATAATCCAGACAGATGGGTCTGTCACAACTACATTTTCAGAGAAAAGGCAGTGCTTACATTGCTGCCTACGAAGACCTCTAGTGGCTGTCACTCAGAGGGCCACTAGAGAGTCCTGTGTCAATGCTCTGCATGGATGCTCTGAATGTTACCCATGCAGAACATGCGCAATATCCTCCCAATTCTTTCTTATGGGAAAGCATTGGCTTAGCTGAGATCAAAAATATTGATGAACTCGGCAATGCCCCTGTCATTCTGTGTGTGCCTGTGCCCCTGTCATTCTGTGTGTGCCTGTGCCCCTGTCATTCTGTGTGTGCCTGTGCCCCTGTCATTCTGTGTGTGCCTGTGCCCCTGTCAGTCTGTGTGTGCCTGTGCCCCTGCCAGTCTGTGTGTGCCTGTGCCCCTGCCAGTCTGTGTGCCTGTGCCCCTGCCAGTCTGTGTGTGCCTGTGCCCTGTCATTCTGTGTGTGCCTGTGCCCCTGTCATTCTGTGTGCCTGTCATTCTGTGTGCCTGTGCCCCTGTCATTCTGTGTGTGTCTGTGCCCCTGTCATTCTGTGTGTGCCTGTGCCCCTGTCATTCTGTGTGTGCCTGTGCCCCTGTCATTCTGTGTGTGCCTGTGCCCCTGTCATTCTGTGTGTGCCTGTGCCCCTGTCAGTCTGTGTGTGCCTGTGCCCCTGCCAGTCTGTGTGTGCCTGTGCCCCTGCCAGTCTGTGTGCCTGTGCCCCTGCCAGTCTGTGTGTGCCTGTGCCCCTGCCAGTCTGTGTGTGTGTGTGCGTGTGCCTGTGCCCCTGCCAGTCTGTGTGTGTGTGTGCGTGTGCCTGCCCCTGTCAGTCTGTGTGTGTGTGCGTGTGCCTGCCCCTGTCAGTCTGTGTGTGTGTGCGTGTGCCTGCCCTGTCAGTCTGTGTGTCTGTGCGTGTGCCTGCACCTGTCAGTCTGTGTGTCTGTGCGTGTGCCTGCACCTGTCAGTCTGTGTGTCTGTGCGTGTGCCTGCACCTGTCAGTCTGTGTGTCTGTGCGTGTGCCTGCACCTGTCAGTCTGTGTGTCTGTGCGTGTGCCTGCACCTGTCAGTGTGTCTGTTTGTTTAGGTACCTGTGATCACGATTGGTGTTTTTACTCACCCTTTTTTTTCCCCACGCTATGCAGGTTTTGACGTGGCTTGACCTGGCGCCTGGGATTTGTCGAGCCTTACCTTAATAACAAGTATTCCAGCATTGTTACTAATCTTGTGCATCCCTATCTCAGTGTATCATTTGTGTCACAAAACATGCACCATCTCATTTGCCAACATGGGTTTCTTTTACTGCATTGGCTGCAGCGGTGCAGCTGTACTGGCATGTTTGTTTTAATGGGTGATGGGTATAGGAGTTACAAGAAACCATAATGTGTTGGTTTTTCTAAATCCATATCATGCTGTGTGCCTGTTTGTCTCTTTTCCTCTTTTTGTCAAACTTTTAATTGTTGTAAACATGTGTTCTTCATTCAGGTTATCCAATATCAGACTGTAAGATATGATGTTCTTCCTCTTTCTCCGACCTCCCGGAATAGGCTTAGTAAGTGGATTTCTTTAAATATATTCTGATTTTTCCTCTTTCTCACTGGCTCCATTGCTCATTGCCGCTGCAGTCTGCTTATTGTGTGTTACAATTCTGTGGTCTTTTTAATTTGTTGGGCTCATTTGTAGCCCATTTTGAAATAATTTGTACCCTGGGTTCTTTGCTTCACTTTGTCTTCACTTTTTCAGATCAGGTGAAGAGGAAAGTTCTGGTTCTAGATTTAGACGAGACCCTCATCCATTCTCATCATGACGGAGTCTTGCGTCCAACTGTCCGTCCTGGAACCCCCCCTGACTTTATACTCAAGGTAACTGCAAGTTTGTTGGACATTTTCTATTCATGACTTTGTGTGTGTGCTGGCCTTCCTTTTATTTTCCATCCTCATATTCCACTTTACTTTCCTATGTCTCTTAATTTACTTTTTCTTTTTTTTTTTTAAACCTTCAGCTCTATTCACTTGTATAATCTCTGTTACCCTCTGCTCTCCCTGTCAGTCTTTTCATGGTTTTTGGCATGCTCCCCATTGTAATACAACTTTCGCCTTGCAGGTTGTTATTGATAAGCACCCAGTGCGTTTCTTTGTCCATAAACGACCGCATGTTGATTTCTTCCTGGATGTGGTAAGTCTCAACACAAATTATACATGCGTAGAACTGTAAAACGTACTGTCTAAATGGTGGTCCACTCACTGTGAGAAGGTTCTACTTTTGCATTGGGCATTTGTATTCGGATGTTGATATAAATATTAAAATATAAGGCCTGTTTCATGAACTGGGAGTTCACTAGCTTGCAAGGGAACTTAGGGAAGGGTGACAAGTGGGGTAGAGTATGGAGTTAATTACAAGGAAAGGTTAAAAGATCTTAACATGTATAGCTTGGAGGAAAGACGAGACAGGGGGGATATGATAGAAACATTTAGATACATAAAGGGAATCAACACAGTAAAGAAGGAGACTATATTTAAAAGAAGAAAAACTACCACAACAAGAGGACATAGTCTTAAATTAGAGGGACAAAGGTTTAAAAATATCAGGAAGTATTACTTTACTGAGAGGGTAGTGGATGCATGGAATAGCCTTCCAGTTAAAGTGGTAGGTTAACACAGTAAAAAAAGTTTAAGCATGCGTGGGATAGGCAAAGGCTATCCTAACTATAAGATAAGGCCAGGGACTAATGAAAGTATTTAGGCAGACTAGATGGGCCGACTGGTTCTTATCTGCCATCACATTCTATGTTTCTGAGTTTTCATATCTGGCATGTCTTCAAACATCTTGTGCAGTGAGTGGACCAAACCGTAAGAAAGGAGAAATGTATGAAATGTTTGTTTCTTCCTGCAGGTCAGTCAGTGGTACGAGCTGGTAGTATTCACAGCCAGCATGGAGATTTACGGCTCTGCTGTGGCCGATAAACTAGATAACAATAGGGGGGTTCTCAGAAGACGTTTTTACAGACAGGTGAGCCAGGCCATAGCTACCATTTGTAACTTGTACAGTTTGTGGGTCATCCTGAACATGTAGTAATGAAAGGTATTGCATATTCCGTTTAGCACTGCACATTGGAACTGGGCAGTTATATCAAAGATCTGTCCGTTGTACACAGTGATCTCTCCAGCGTGGTCATTCTGGACAACTCTCCTGGAGCATACAGAAGTCACCCAGGTAGCTTAACTGCTCTATATGTGTCTGGTGGTCGGGCCAATTTATATATAGATTATTTTTTTATTTACATATCAGTAGTTGTGCGAGAACAGGCACTGGTCAGTTGCTTGGTTGAGAATGGTTTGTGTGTGGTCTGGACAGTTTGTCTCCCGATTGATCTGGGTTGTCTATAATCTCCTTATTTTATAAATCTATATTTCCACAGATAATGCTATTCCTATAAAGTCCTGGTTCAGCGATCCCAGTGACACAGCACTACTAAACCTTCTACCAATGCTGGATGCATTAAGGTACACGATATTTGGAGCCAGAATACAGACACCCTATATATAGACATCACATGTGGAATCAATGAGAATCCAGACAATTGATTGTGCAATCTACTATGAGAAGCAGCGTTAGAAGCATAAATTATAAAAGAGATTCCTACAAACAGAATCCTAGCTTGTCTGAGCTCTTACTAACATAGGTATCCTTTACTATCAAGGTTTAAATAAAAAAGGTTTCATCAACCTTATAGAATGTCAGTTTGCTGCTTCCAGCCTTTACAAGAGAAAACAGTCCCTATTGCCTGTTTACCAGAGAAACTTACTTCATTAACTGCTGCTAACTACTTGCAGCTGACTGTGTTGGAGTCAGTCTGAACTCCTGGCCTGGACTTTCTCCCAATTGTCTGTGAAGCACCGGCCCACCCTACTCTCCAAATGCTTCAACCCAGGGCTCCACATCTTACCCTATTTCTCAATATGTTAAACATAACACATACTTCGCCCTTGATTAAACAGCATAGGTCTCTCTAAAAACAGAGACGAAATGTATATACCATCACAAACACCATGCAGCTTAACACACGCCGTATATAGTCGCGCTGTGCCCCGCGACAGACGCCGTATATAGTCGCGCTGTGCCCCGCGACAGACGCCGTATATAGTCGCGCTGTGCCCCGTGACAGACGCCGCGTTGACAGACTCCCATGTACAGTCGCGCTGTGCCCCGTGACAGACTCCATGTACAGTCGCGCTGTGCCCCGTGACAGACGCCATGTACAGTCGCGCTGTGCCCCGTGACAGACGCCATGTACAGTCGCGCTGTGCCCCGTGACAGACGCCATGTAGAGTCGCGCTGTGCCCCGTGACAGACGCCATGTAGAGTCGCGCTGTGCCCCGTGACAGACGCCATGTAGAGTCGCGCTGTGCCCCGTGACAGACGCCATGTAGAGTCGCGCTGTGCCCCGTGACAGACGCCATGCGCTGTGCCCCGTGACAGACGCCATGCGCTGTGCCCCGTGCCCCGTGACAGACGCCATGCGCTGTGCCCCGTGCCCCGTGACAGACGCCATGCGCTGTGCCCCGTGCCCCGTGACAGACGCCATGCGCTGTGCCCCGTGCCCCGTGACAGACGCCATGCGCTGTGCCCCTTGCCCCGTGACAGACGCCATGCGCTGTGCCCCGTGCCCCGTGACAGACGCCATGCGCTGTGCCCCGTGACAGACGCCATGCGCTGTGCCCCGTGACAGACGCCATGCGCTGTGCCCCGTGACAGACGCCATGCGCTGTGCCCCGTGACAGACGCCATGCGCTGTGCCCCGTGACAGACGCCATGCGCTGTGCCCCGTGACAGACGCCATGCGCTGGGCCCCGTGACAGACGCCATGCGCTGCCCCGTGACAGACGCCATGCGCTGTGCCCCGTGACAGACGCCATGCGCTGTGCCCCGTGACAGACGCCATGCGCTGTGCCCCGTGACAGACGCCATGCGCTGTGCCCCGTGACAGACGCCATGCGCTGTGCCCCGTGACAGACGCCATGCGCTGGGCCCCGTGACAGACGCCATGCGCTGGGCCCCGTGACAGACGCCATGCGCTGGGCCCCGTGACAGACGCCATGCGCTGGGCCCCGTGACAGACGCCATGCGCTGGGCCCCGTGACAGACGCCATGCTCTGTGCCCCGTGACAGACGCCATGCTCTGTGCCCCGTGACAGACGCCATGCGCTGTGCCCCGTGACAGACGCCATGCTCTGTGCCCCGTGACAGACGCCATGTACAGTCGCGCTGTGCCCCGTAACAGACCTTCACACCCTTAGATACTTTATAATAAAAGACACTGACACTTTCACATTCTTACAGAAATATAATTTACTTAATGTGAATGTGCTTCGTTTTTCTTATACGTTGAATGTAATTAATGGTAAAAGTCACAGGAGGAATAAAATAGATTATGTAGCACTACAAAGCAGTATTAAGCTATACATAAGGAAATGATGCATGTGCACAAATCTGTCAGATATGTGAGAGAACACTATACAAACTATACCTAACTCCATTAATATTCTACATATATGGGCATGATATATTCTATGATTCTATAATATGTTACAAACATGTTCCTTTCACACTGTATATGTAGACTGCATAATAGAATATTATGCAGTCTACATATACAGTGTTGGTTGCTTTCATGGAATCCTGATCTATGTACTGAGAACCTTTAAACGGTAAGGTGCTGTTTCACTAATGCCATTTCTTGCCCATCTAGGTTCACAGCTGATGTTCGCTCGGTTCTGAGCCGCAATCTCCACCAGCACAGACTATGGTGACATTCAGCCCCGCCGCCTCCTTCTCCTGGATACCCCCTGTCCCCGCCAGCAGACAGAGACTGTACCCCCTCTACCTCTAGGACATTTACCGTGGAGGAGGGTGATAACCGTGAACTGTAAAACCCCTCCCTTCCCCTCTTTTCAGGGGCTGGGGGTGCGTGGGGAGAATGGGGGTCTGGTTTTTAATTGTAGACTTTCTTGTATAAAGAGAATTATTTCAAGATATGGCTTTATGTATGTGCATATAAATATATACACACCCTCCTTCCACCATCATTACCAGCGTGCAAACCGTTCCACCATCTTTAAGGATCTTAGCATACTGCAGTATGCCTGAAGACAAAGCATAGTGAAAGGATGGAGAGTGCATCTTGTATGCGAAGGGTGTAACTTGTGGGTGGTAGGTGTCTGTACTTTGAATGGAGAGAGCGAGGTCTTTGTACATGTAGGTAGAGAACGAGAGCTCTTTGTGTAAAAAGGACAACTCGTCATATTCATACCTTTTAATTCCGCAGATGAGTGGGAGCACCTCGTGGGCAGGACTCGGAAGACAGAGGAGAGTATAATAATTGCATTGTAAATAATCTATCTAATAAGGGTGCGGTCACTAGCATATGTTTGTCTACTGGACACACATCCAGATATTTATTGAAACTGTCTACATATTTACAGGCTTAATGTTTACTTGCAAGGTAAGTTTTCACAACTTGGGTGTTGAGGCACAGCTCACCCAAGTACTACTGTAGCCTACTAAACTGGGTGAGTCTACATTCTCATAAATGAAAATATTGTCTGACTATTTGGATGGGGCAGTAAATATAGGTGATATGGTAGAAATAGACTGCAGTTGAAATGCAAGTGGGAGGTGGGTCAACTTGACTGGTTTACAGTGGATTTTGGGAGGTGATGAGAGCTGCATTATATTAGATATTAGATAACAGAAAACATTTATTGGAGAGCAATAGAGACCACGCAGACAGCTCTGTTACTGTTAAGTTAAAGGCATTTGAGTTTTCAATTAATGTGTATAACATATAAACAGAGCGTGCCCTGCTTCTATCATCTATGGATTTATATATGTATAAACAGAGCGAGCCCTGCCTCTATCTATGGATTTATATAGTGTATAAACAGAGCGAGCCCTGCTTCTGTCTATCTATGGATTTATATAGTGTATAAACAGAGCGAGCCCTGCTTCTATCTATGGATTTAGATAGTGTAGAAGCAGGGTTCGCTCTGTTTATACACTATATAAATCCATAGATCGATAGAAACCGGGCTCGCTCTGTTTATACACTATATAAATCCATAGATAGATAGTGTAGAAACAGAGCAAGCCCTGCTTCTATCGATCTATGGATTTATATAGTATATAAACAGAGCAAGCCCTGCTTCTATCGATCTATGGATTTACTATCTAAATCCATAGATAGAAGCAGGGCTTGCTCTGTTAATACACTATATAAATCCATAGATCGATAGAAGCAGGGCTACGTCTGTTTATAAACTATATATAAATCCGTAAATAGATAGAAGCAGGGCTCGCTCTGTTTATATGTTATATAAATCCATAGATAGAAGCAGGGCTTGCTCTGTTTGTGCACTATATAAATCCATAAATAGAAGCAGGGCTCACTATTTATACACTATATAAATCCATTAATAGATAGAAGCAGGACTCGCTCTGTTTATACACTACATAAATCCATAAACAGAGCGAGCCCTGCTTCTATCGATGGATTTATATAATGTATAAAGAGAGCAAGCCCTGCTTCTAATCATGGATTTAGATAGTGTAGAAACAGAGCGAGCCCTGCTTCTATCTAAATCCATGATTAGAAGCAGGGCTTGCTCTCTTTATACATTATATAAATCCATCGATAGAAGCAGGGCTCGCTCTGTTTATGGATTTATGTAGTGTATAAACAGAGCGAGTCCTGCTTCTATCTATTAATGGATTTATATAGTGTATAAATAGTGAGCCCTGCTTCTATTTATGGATTTATATAGTGTACAAACAGAGCAAGCCCTGCTTCTATCTATGGATTTATATAACGTATAAACAGAGCGAGCCCTGCTTCTATCTATCTATGGATTTAGTGTATAGTGCGAGCTCTGCTTCTATCTATGGATTTAGATAGTGTATAAACAGAGGGAGCCCTCTTTCTATCCAGGGCCAGATTAACAGCCCAGTGCTGACAATTATAATGGGCCTAATTACAGAATCTTATCGACCAAAAACACTCCCAAGCGTCATGTATCTGATGGAGATGGTCCTGGAAAGAAAGAAAACAGCAGCTATAAGAAAACTTACTCTGCTAATCTCTCTCTAATTTATGTTTTAATTTTTCAAGTAAATCCATAACCCCTAACAGCAGTGTCCAGTCAAGCAGGAAGTCAATGGGCACAAATCACGTAACCTGCCAAGAGGGGCGAACATGCCCAAAAAGGACATGTCTGCCCGAAGAACTGGAAGGCCAGCCTGGCATGAATGCATCTAGCCAACTAAGGGCATACTATGCAGACAGCACCCTGAGCTTGGCATAAATGCGTCTAATGATGCGCTCACTCAACGCTTTCTAAGCTTTCCTAGCACTCGCTGGTCCACTTGTCTCTTACTTACTAGCAGGCAGAATTTCCTGTTATACAGTATGAGACAAAGAAAACATGTATGTTGTGAAAGGGAACATGCCACAGTTTTAGTCAGCATTACCTTAACTATATTCATTGTCAGCCAGTCCACACAAGTTTTGTTCCCATACATCCCTCTACAGTTTCCACACTTAAGCAAGAGTATGTGAAAAGTAGTTAGGGTTGCCACCTTTCTTGGAAAAACATACCGGCCTTATTAATTTGCATAATTAATTATGTATGGGTGACCTCGCATGATGTAAATCACAAGGAGTGAAATAAGAGAATATGCTGTACAATCACCAATAAACTACTTGGTTTTTTTCTCCCCATATCTCCCTGTGCCCTCATGACTCCCATGTGTTGATTACTCCAGGTCTCCGTGTCTCATGCCTCCCAGTGTCGTGTCCTGAGCTCTCCCAGTTTCCCTATGTATCACAGTGTCTCAATGCCCCATGTCTCCCTGTGTCCTCCAGTATTCCCATGTGTCTATGTCCCCATGTCTCCCAGGATCCCCATGCCACTAGGAACATGGGGATACCTGCAGACACAGGGATATCTGGGGACAAGGAGACACCAGGGACACTTAGAGATCAGGGGACACTGGGAAAATAGGAGACACTTGAAGATATGGGGACACAGACACTAGAGACACTGGCTGGGGGACATTGAGACATGGGGGGCAGTGGGAGATATGGGGACACAGACACCAGGGCCACAGACACTAGTGCCAGTGGGCTTGGAGACATGGGGACTACTGGCCAGTGCTGGTATTGCATCGTAATCTCTGTTTATACTGAGAAAAATACCAGCATTTGTATTGCCAGTATGACTGCAATATAGGCACCAGCCAGGCAGCCTCAAATACTGGCTGTGCCAATAAAATAAATGCCGGGTGGAATCCCTAAGAGTAATGTGTGTTTTAAAAAAAATTAAAAATAAACTTTCCTTTTTTTTCAGGGGGGGGGGTCTATGGGCCTATTCCATGGGCCTGTGTAACGATACCTTACCTTTTCCCTCCGGACCCGCGCAGCGTGGCGTCCTCTCTTCTTGCTTCTGGGAGGCGGCACAGTCTCTTGGCCGCTCCAGAGACGCCTCTTCTTATGACGCATGCGTGCCGACGTCAGCATAATTATCCCGCGGGTATTCAAACATTACCACGCTCCCGGACCTTTTAGGGGCGTGGATTTAAAGCCAAAGGAACCACTGTGGCAAACCTAGCCACTTTAGGTCATATTGCAAAACATTTAAAGGTTGTCTGAAATAGCTGTGTTAACCTGGTGTAAAAATGTATTTGTGTGTTTTAGAATAGAGAGCATGCATAGGCTAACAGCCGTGAATAAAATTGTCAGTTGACTCCTGGAGTCAGTTGACTGGGGGATTTGGGATATTGCCTTCTTTTCCAGCGCTTTACTTTGGATTACCTTCTATACCAGCGGAGATCTTGGGATTTAATATTGCAGCTCCGCTACAATTGGTGGCAAGCGACGGGATCCAACCTTACAGCCGAAAAGCGGTGTTCGGGTAATTGAAACTACCGAACAGGAAAGTGAATGGCAATTCAGATACAACAAAGAACCGAACACAGAGGTGAATGGAGACAGACTACACTCCATTGAAACGGCAGACGTTAAAGGAACTATTGGAAGCCAGGGGCAAGATAACCAGCAATAAGCCAAAAGTTGTGCTGAATTGATGGAGGGAGTGTTACACCCCCACCAGCCATGGAAGAAACCCCCTTCCAAAAGGAAATGAGGACCAGGATGGAAATACTGACAGTCCTGATGTGCAGGAGTATGTGATGGCACACGGACCGCAGGATGCTCCTCCCAGAGCAGAGTCTATTAATGCTTCAGTCGTCAGCCAGGTAAAGCCTAAGATCCCATACCATGCTTTTAAAATGTTCTCTGAAGAGAAAGACGAGATTGATGGGTATCTACAAGACTTTGAGAGGCTATGTGACTTGCATGATTTGGAGCAGGCAGTGTGGGTACCTTTACTGGCAGGCAAACTGTCAGGTCGGGCAGTCGAAGCCTATCGGGCTGTACCCAGAGAGGACAGTAAAGATTATGCTCGGGTAAAACAGGCTATACTGGAAAGATACGCCATTACCCCAGAGGCATACCGGCGCAAGTTTCGAGGGTTGCGCAAACCAGAGAAAGATTCCCACGCAGAGTGGGCACACAAACTGGACCAAGCCTCCCAGGGGTGGATACAAGCCAGTCAAGCAACCACCATGGAGGAGTTACGGCAATTGCTGCTGTTAGAACAGTTTTTCAATAGCCTGTCCCCAGAGGCACAGGAATGGGTAAGAGATAGAAAACCCCTCACCCTAACAGAAGCTGCAAGACTAGCAGACCAGCACTATGACGCCAGGAGGCATCACGGTAACCTCAACCGAGGGTACACTCGACCCACCGCTCAACCTCATACAGCTACCCCTACTGCACCTACAGCAAATCCATTCCGGCCAGCCCCAGGGGGGCACACTCCACCATCCGGGTATGCGAATATACAGTGCCATACGTGCAAACAATGGGGCCACATGGCGAGAGAGTATACTCAGAACCGGAGCCGCCAAGCATGGAGCCAGGTACGGCAGAATCCAGCACCAAGAGCAGCCGCCCACCACTTCCAAGTGGAGCCAGCAACCCAGGAGATACTTTTTAATCAGACCGAAGAGCCCCTGGGGATACTACACGATGTGATGTCTGTGGCTTGTACCGACAACAGGCAACACCATAGCCAGCTAGTAACCCTGGAAGGGAAAGAGGTCCAAGGGCTCCGGGATTCGGGAGCCACTCTGGTAGCCCCTGATTTGGTTCCAGGCTCCGCACACACCGGTGGATCTGTGGCAGTGCGAGTAGCAGGGGGAGCGGTATACAGATTACCCACCGCTAAAGTACGTTTGAATTGGGGTGTTGGGGAGGGCATGGTAGAGGTGGGCCTGATGCAGAAACTGCCAGGGGATGTCGTATTGGGAAACGACCTGGGTCGAATGACTTCTGCCTTTATTCCTCAAGCTCCACTCCAATAGCCTCACCCAGTAACCAACAGGCTCGCACCAGCAACACACTCTGAGGCTCAGGTAAAAGACAGGGACCCTCCTGCGACCCGTGTTACCTGGGATACCCCGAATGAATTTGAGGCTGAGGTTCAGATAGACCCCACTTTAAAAGTATACAGGGATAGGGTGATCTCCGACCAGGCCGGATTAGAGGGAGAACGTTATACCCGGGAAAAGGGTTTACTGTACCGCATTTCTGAAAGGGTAGTGGGGGGATCTGTGAATGTGACTACTAGACAGCTAGTGGTCCCGCAGAAATATAGACAGGAACTTCTTCGGATCGCTCACGACATCCCTTTGTCTGGGCATTTGGGGATGACTTGCACCTGATACCGCTTGACCCACGCCTTTTTCTGGCCGGGTATATCCAAGGACTTGCGGCAGTATTGCCAGACATGTGACATCTGTCGGCGAGTAGGCAAGAGGGGTGACCGACACAAGGCCAAATTATGCCCACTGCCCATCATAGACTAACCATTTAGTAGAGTGGCCGTAGATTGTAACGGACCGTTTTGCCCACAAGAGGTTAAAAAAACGTTTACGCGATATTCCCCTTTTTTCAGATGCACAGACAGCTACTGCAATCACCACTCTCCCGAACTGCAAACACACGAATACTGGAAACAGCCGAATAGGAAAAAACCATGCAAATAGTTTTACACTCCTAGCAGTCAAACTGGAACAGCATACAATAAATCCTCCCCCAATAATGAGATGACACTGAGGGTTAAGCAGGAACTGGTTTACTGGGGCTAACTGCCAGGCTTTTATGCAAGTCTCCCACCTGGTGGACACTCCCCTAGGGGACCAAATGGGAAACTGGGAAACATACTGGCCCTTAGCCCATCACAGACATACACCTTTAAACACTCCCACAATTACATCACAATCCCTCCTCTCTGTCCTGGAGATAATTGGGAAGTAATCCACTTATCTCCCAGGACAGAGGCAAAACTCCATTAACCACGTGGCAGTAACAATACAGTAAAAGACATAAAATTACATACAGCCACATTTATTACCTAAAACATATACATTCTACATATCCCCAGATAGCTTAGATCTGAGCGCACATTACTAGCGAATGGCGCTCAGATCACATACATACAGTTCAATCGCCATGGAGCCAAAGCCTTTCATACAGTCTTTCAGTATACGGCTGGGCTCCATGGCATAGCTATCTGGGGTAGCATGGCTTTAACAGTCCGCAGAAAGGCACAAATAAACCTTTCTGCCGGTAAAATAAAAGTTTAAAATGCAGGACCATAGTCTAAAGGGAGCAGGCGAGCAACCAGGCCTCTCCAGTGGACAGTGTCGAGGTTGGTTCCGCCACATAGATATAGTAGGGCCCTTACCAAAACCCAGTCCCCCCGGCAAGAGATATATCTTGACCATAGTAGACTACGCCACCCAGTACCCCGAAGCAGTAGCCCTCTCTAATATCCACGCCGAGACAGTGGCTGAAGCCTTAATGAAAGTAGGGGTGGGTTCCCCCAGGAGATCATATAGGGGTATGCAGTTCATGGCCGAGGTGACCCACCAACTATGGAGAATGTGTGGCATTAAACCTATCGTAAACTCTGCGTACCACCCGCAGTCTAATGGGTTATGTGAAAGGTTTAATGGGACGTTAAAGCAGATGCTCCGTACCTTTGGAGAGGCCTTTAAGGACTGGAAGCGATTCCTACCCCATCTGCTATTCGCTTACAGAGAGGTACCCCAAGAGTCCACAGGCTTTTCTCCTTTTGAACTACTGTTTGGGAGAAGGGTGCGAGGACCTTTAGACTCAATTAGGGAGCACTGGGAGGGGAAAGTAGTACAGATGGGACACCCATTGTACCATATGTGCTGGATCTCAGGGACCGCTTGGAGGCACTAACCCAGACGGTACGGCCCAACAACGCCAGCGCCGCTGGTATGATAGGGGAGCCAGAGACCGCAGCTTTCACGTGGGACAGAAAGTTTTGATCTTAAAACCTGTTCGCAATGACAAGCTGCAGGCCATCTGGCAAGGCCCATACCAGGTGGTGGAACAGAGATGTGACACCACCTATGTGATTGGCCCCATACCGTATCCCGGAAGCGGTCATGGAACATATGAGGAAGGAAATTGAGGAAATGTTGCATTATTGAACATTCCGATAGCCCCTGGGCATCGCCGGTAGTGCTGGTACCCAAGAAGGACGGCACAACATGCTTTTGTGTAGACTACCGGAGGCTAAATGACAAAACAGTGTCTGATGCCTACCCGATGCCCCGGATAGATGAGCTGCTAGACAAAATGGCACGAGGCCAGTACCTTACTACAATAGATTTATACAAAAGGTATTTGCAGATTCCACTAGCCGAGGATGCCATCCCCAAGTCAGTGTTTGTCACCCCATTTGGCTTGTAAAAGTTTTGCATCATGGCATTCGGGATGAAAAATGATCCGGCTACCTTTCAACGGATGGTGGATCGGCTACTGGATGGGTTTCAGGAGTATGCATGTGCATACCTGGATGATATCGCCATCTATAGCCAGACCTGGTCAGACCACCTGTGACATATTGGAGCAGTCATTGACCGTATCGGAGAGGCAGGGTTGCTAAAGCCCAGTAAGTGTCACATCGGGATGGCAGAGGTACAGTACCTGGGGCAGCGGGTAGGGAGTGCACAGAAAAAGCCTTAACCAGCAAAAATTGAAGCAGTAGCTAAGTGGCCTATCCCCCCCCAAACAAAAACCCAAGTGCTAGCCTTCCTTGGTACTACAGGGTACTACCGAAAATTCATACCCAATTATAGTGCCCTGGCCAAACCCCTGACTGACTTGACACGCAAAAACCTTCCTCGACAGGTCATCTGGGCCCCAGAGTGTGATCAGGCGTTCCAACAACTCAAGACTGCTTTAACCAATGCACCTGTACTTGCTGCTCCTGATCCAACTAAACTATTTCCTGTCCACACAGAAGCTTCCATGTTTGGATTAGGAGCAGTGCTGAGCCAAATTGGAGCAGATGGCGGAGAACATCCCGTAGCTTACTAAAGCCGAAAGTTGTAGCCGTGAAGTGAGCTACGCCGCCATTGAGAAAGAATGCCTGGCCGTGGTGTGGGCCCTCAAAAAGTTGCAGCCTTATTTATATGGACAACCTTTTTCCCTACTCACAGATCACAACCCGTTGGTGTGGCTGAACCGTGTGGCAGGGGACAATGCCAGGCTGCTACGCTGGAGTTTGGCGCTGCAGCCTTTTTACTTCACTATTCATTACCGCCCAGGAAAGCAAAACGGTAACGCCGACGGGTTATCTAGACAGACTGACCTTGAGAAGTTATCTGTGAGTACTCCTCCGGACATCCACAAGCCGATCCGTTGGGATCAGACTGTGTATGCCGGCTTGGTTCTGGGGGAGCATTGTGGCAAACCTAGCCACTTTAGGTCATATTGCAGAACATTTAAAGGTTGTCTGAAATAGCTGTGTTAACCTGGTGTAAAAATGTATTTGTGTGTTTTAGAATAGAGAGCATGCATAGGCTAACAGCCGTGAATAAAATTGTCAGTGGACTCCTGGAGCCGTGAATAAAATTGTCAGTTGACTCCCTGAACTGTTTCGTCCGGTTATTGGGGGATTTGGGATATTGCCTTCTTTTCCAGTGCTTTACTTTGGATTACCTTCTATACCAGCGGAGATCTTGGGATTTAATATTGCAGCTCCGCTACAACCACACTATAAAAAGTCGCCTTTTTCAATTGTTCAGCACCCTATTGAGGTTCTTGATAGTTCCATTTAGTGCTCTTGAGATCATTTATTGTATTTACTGGTATTTGACTTTTGGCTTTTCCTCTTACTATTCTCATCTCTGGTTTCCTGATTTTGGGTTGGTTATTCTCGTGTGCGTGCTTTCTGTACTCCCTTGACTCTTGGCTATTCCTTCGACTACTCCTTGGCGTTTGAGTCCGGCCATTGTAAGGTCCGTATATGTTACTTTCTAATTACACTCTGCGTGTAGGGGTCATTGTCGTGACAGCCTGGGCCTGGAGCTGCAGCTCTATCAGCCCCTATGTGAATCCGGCCCTGCTTCTATCTATTTATGGATTGATATAGTGTATAAACAGAGCGAGCCTTGCTTCTATCTATGGATTTATATAGTGTATAAAGAGAGCGAGCCCTGTTTCTATCTATAGATTTATATAGAAATAAACAGTGCCAGCCCTGCTTCTATCCATAGATTTATATAGTGTATACACAATCGAGCCCTGCTTCTATCTATGGATTTCTATAGTGTATAAACAGAGCAAGCCCTGCTTCTATCTATGGATTTCTATAGTGTATAAACAGAGCGAGCCCTGCTTCTATCCATAGATTTATATAGTGTATACACAATCGAGCCCTGCTTCTATCTATGGATTTATATAGTGTATAAACAGAGCGAGTCCTGCTTCTATCTATCTATGGATTTATATAGTGTATAAACAGAGCAAGCCCTGCTTCTATCTATGGATTTATATAGTGTATAAACAAAGCGAGCCCTGCTTCTATCTATCTATGGATTTCTATAGTGTATAAACAGAGCAAGCCCTGATTCTATCTATGGATTTCTATAGTGTATAAACAGAGCAAGCCCTGCTTCTATCTATGGATTTCTATAGTGTATAAACAGAGCAAGCCCTGCTTCTATCTATGGATTTCTATAGTGTATAAACAGAGCAAGCCCTGCTTCTATCTATGGATTTCTATAGTGTATAAACAGAGCAAGCCCTACTTCTATCTATGGATTTATATAATGTATAAAAAAAGTGGGCCCTGCTTCTATCTATGGATTTATATAGTGTATAAAAAGAGCAAGCCCTACTTCTATCTATGGATTTATATAGTGTATACACAATCGAGCCCTACTTCTATCTATGGATTTACCGTATTTTCCGGCGTATAAGACGACCCCCAACTTTTCCAGTTAAAATATAAAGTTTGGGATATTCTCGCCGTATAAGACTACCCCTCTTCCAATGCACACCAAATAAAAATTAGCCATGATGTACAGTGAGCAGACAGAGCTACACAGCAAGACATTAAATAATGATAATATGAAATAGCATTTAAAGCCCAGGTATGTGCCAGGCTGTTTGGGCATATAATCCATGCCTGCTGGTCTAGCACACAGGAGGCTAATTGCGATATATTCTTTTTAATAACCCCCTCCATTCTTTTTACTCCCCCCCCATTCTTTTTACTCCCACCCCAATCCTCCCTACATTCTTCTCACCTCCCCTTCCCTGTGCAGAGTGGGTGGCCGAGCTCCTCTTCGTCCTGTCAGTACGGCCAGGTATCGCGCAGTACAGGAGATTCAGTTACCTGTTCCCGGCTGGACTGAAAGGAAGTGAGCACTCAGTGTGGACTGGCAGGACGAAGAGGAGCTCGGCCACCCACTCTGCACAGGGCAGGGGAGGTGAGAAGAGAGGCAGTGCGGCAGCAGTCTGAGCGCTCTCTCTGGAGCGCTAAGGCGGCTGCAGCATTAGAAGGGCCGGCGATGGGGGTGCAGGGCGCCCCCGGCAGCCATATAGACCCTATACCTGGCGTATAAGACGACCCCCGACTTTGGAGAAGATTTTCCAGGGTTAAAAAGTAGTCTTATACGCCAGAAAATACAGTATATAGTGTATAAACAGAGCGAGTCCTGCTTCTATCTATGGATTTATATAGTGTTTAACCCCTTAAGGACCAAACTTCTGGAATAAAAGGGAATCATGACATGTCTCACATGTCATGTGTCCTTAAGGGGTTAAACAGAGCGAGCCCTGCTTCTATCTATCTATGGATTTAGATGGTCTATAAACAGAGCAAGTACTGCTTCTATCTATCTAAATAACCCTGTCAGTGTTTCTATTAATAGTGATATCGCAGTTTATAATAACCGTCAGTGTTTCTATTAGCAGTGATACCATAATTTATAATAACCCTGTCAGTGTTTCTATTAACAGTGATATCAGTTTATAATAACCCTGTCAGTGTTTCTATTAGCAGTGATATCACAGTTTATAATAATCCTGTCAGTGTTTCTATTAATAGTGATATCGCAGTTTATAATAATCCTGTCAGTGATGTCACAGTTTATAATAACCCTGTCAGTGATATCACATCTTATAATAACCCTGTCAGTGTTTCTAAACGCCTGGAAACCTACCAAACACGCAGCAAGCAGCAGAACACCCCGCTGAGCGGCTCCATGGACAGGTACCTCCAAACGCCGAGAAGGCCACCTAGTGGCACGCAGGGCCCAAAGATGGCCGATGGACCGACCACATCGTCGGAGTCACAAGCACTTCCCTAGCGGACATTAGGGCAGATATTAGAATCCTAACTAGCACTATGGTCACAAAAGCAGACCCGAAAAACACGTCGGACACGCTCCATGAGGCGATCCGAGCGGAAGTTGCCATGCTTGGGAATGATATCGCAGCGCAAGGCACCCGCATCCAGGCACTGGAGGCCAGAGAACAAGCGATGACTGGCCGCATAGAAGCTAATAACCTAGCTATCAACCAACAAGGTCCTCCTACACCTTAGAAGGCAGGCAGAGGATCTGGATAATAGAGGACGTAGATCAAATATCAGAGTGCGCAACCTGCTGACCCACATAATGAGGAAAACGTGGAGGCCACACTTACCGCATTGTTTAGAGAAATACTGGGCCCAGACGCACCGCCCAATATCAGATTTGACAGAGCCCACAGAGCAATACGACCGAGAAACATCGACAACTCGCCCAGAGACATTATATGTTGCCTACACGAATTTAAAGTGAAAGAACTTATGTCCAAAGCCCAATCCAAGCAGAGTTGGCCGCTCCAGGGAGCTTAGGTAGCCTTATACCAGGACTTGTCGCCCCTCACACTAGAGGCTCGCAGGGCTCTAAGGCCGATAACCCAACTCTTAAGAAGCCGAAATATACCATGTAAATGGGGCTTCCCCTTTAGTTTGCTAGCCCGATATGAGAACGAATGGGTACCAGTCAGATGGCGAGATGAGGTACCGGTATTCCTGAGGAGACTGGCCTGCCGAACACGGAGGTGGCCGACTGGATCCTGGGGCCGCTTGAACAACGACCTGGCCCCATGGCGCAAAGAGCCGCTCGAAGGCGCAGAGAGGACTCACCGCACAGACCACCAGCACACAGGCCTCGAAACCCGGCCCAACACGCCGAATGAGCGAGGCCCGATAGGCCAATGAGAGACTCCCCTTGAATGGCAGTGAGGGGACAGCAACAGACGAACACCTGTGGACGATGACCACAAGACGCGCTCAGATAAGTACTTTTACCCCACTTTGACATGCACTGACCGACGACTTAAGACTCTAGACTCATCCCTTCCAAGACTCACCCCACCATGGGGCACGACATGCGATTGACACGATCAGCCCACCATTGACTGCAAACTTAGCCAACACGTTCCCAACACAGCACAGACTGCCCCTTGGGAATGAAAGCCAAGACAAACTCAACAGCTATTGGGGAGGGGGGGTTAAGGGTGAAGGGGGACAATGCAGAGCAGAGCAATGTGGAGCAGAAGAACCACATAGCCCGGAGCAATAATATCCCAGGAGAGAGGGCATTAACCATTGCCACTAACCTAGCTGGACTGCCGGGAGAGGATGCGGGCGGGAGAACCGGACGCATCGGCAGGCCAACGGAGGAAGCAGGGGGGGATACAGCAAAATTGGGTAGGAGAAATGAGATGGGGGAGAGAAAGAATAAAGGTTAAAGACATTGAAAGTGAATGTTGGAAAGGGGAAGGCGCAGAAAAAGCATTTGAATTGTGAATTGGCAATTTATGATAGCGACACTAAGGAGAACCGGCATCGGAGAGAGGATGCTGAAGTGGATCGAAACGCTCTACCACCAACCAAATGCCAAAGTCTGAGTGAATGGGGCACTTACCGACAGCTTTGACATCAAAAACGGAACCAGACAAGGCTGCCCACTCTCGCCGCTCCTGTTTGCATTCACCCTGGAACTGTTCCTAGATAAAATACTGAGGAACCCACAGATAATGGGCCTCAAGCACAGTAGCCGCCTATGTGGATGATATGCTGTTCTTCTTGGATGAATCCCTGGAGTCGATCCCCCAGCTAATGATAGAAATCCAGACATATGGAAATTTATCGGGGCTCAAACTAAACATACCCAAGTGGGAGATACTAAATGTGACGGTACCAGAGGAGGAATGCGCACAACTGAAACAACAATTCCCATTCCACTGGTGCACAGATCGCATGAAATACCTGGGACTGCAGGTCACCCCTGAAGCAAAGGACCTCTACACAGATAACTACGCAGCCCTCCTGTCCAACATCTTAGAGGACCTCAAGAGATGGAACTACAACCAAATCTCAAGGCAGGGATGAATAGCAGTTGTGAAGATGAATATCCTTCCCAGAATACTCTAAATGTTCCACACAATCCCCCGGATAATTCCACAAATATTCTTCAAAACGCTCCGGACAGCGATCCTTAAATACACATGGAAGGGAGACAGAGACAGGATCGCCCACGAAAAACTGTGCCTCCCCAAAACGTGGGGGCTCGCACTACAGGACCTGAACAAATACTATCACGCAATGATTCTACAGCGCATTAGGGAACTGCACACGGCCATCCCTCACAAAAGATGGATCACGCTGTGCAAAGACCTAGCAGAAAACCAACTCCATCCAAAACCTCTGGCATAAAGAGGATGAGGCCTCAAAAAAACTAGGGGAAGACTCCCCCATCACCCAAATCTTGGACCAGACTGAGGAAAGAGCCTTACATTTCCCCTACACCAAGCCCGATGATCCCCATCACCCACAACTCAAACATAGGAGACGGATTACCACCGTCCGCATGGCCACTGGTCAACCAGGAAGGATATGTCCCACTACACACGACACTAACAGAGATGGGGCTGAAGACCTTACGAGAAATGACGGAAGGAGGAACGTCTACCAATTCCACTATGCCCAGCTTAAACGCTTTTACCACAAGCTACCACACAGAAACAAACTGCACAGGGAACTAATATGGTTTGAAAAGATATGCTTCCAGACACCTGACGCGGACAGCACCGTCTCGGCCGTATCCAACGACTGGCAACAGGTGAGAGGGAAAGGAAGGACCTATTCAAAAGGCAATGGGAAGTCCTAATGGACAACACAAACACGAAAACGGAACCGGCACTCTTAAACATATCTGGTGGGACTGCGACAGAATCCAACCAAACTGGAAAGACATCGAGGTGGAAATACAGAATATAATGGGGGAACACACAAGCTTGACAGCAGACCGAGTTCTGCTACACCACACAAAAGAAACACTCTCAACATACACAAAAAAAAAATCGATCCTCAGACACCAGCTGAACGCAGCAAAAGCACTGATACCGATACTATTGAAAACACAGAACCCATCGACAATCAGACAATGAAAACACAGGGTAGAAGAAATACAAAAAGCCGAATCCACAATAGCAAATCATCTAGGGAGACAGGAAAAACACACAGAGCAGTGGAGACTATGGTACGTATATTGCTCACGGAACACAACCGCCACCTAGATGAGGGGAGGAGGGACCAAGGGAAAGGGGACGGGGCACCTGGACTCGCCGTACACGACACCACTGCACCCAAGCCTACCCCCTATCCACCTGTCTCTGCGGGACAGGGGCCCAGATGGGAGCAGACACACACAGGGGACAAGACTACTCAGGGCCCAGACAATGGGCAAGTTGCAAGAGCAAAGACCTAGGGGGCAGGAGTAAGTTACTAAAAGAAGGACAGACAGATACTCACAACCCCCAAAAAGAGAGTACAGCACGGCCAAAAAAGCACCGGAAAAAAATAAAGGAAAGGGGAAGAAGATGATAACATGCAACACCACAGACTCACACAAGCTCGAAACATAACTAACACACACCCACATAGAGATTCACCTCATAACTCATACAGTACACACATAAACATATACCACATAAATGCATTTACCCCTCAAACCACAGGGCCAGTCACACAAATACAACACCAAAGACTCCATTGGACAACAGATAAGACACCCAACAACCCCCCAGCAAAGACCGCATCAGATAACAGCCCCCGCAGACACAAGGACTCCTGATGCTGACAGTAAAGGGAGGAGGCTAGGGTGAACCGACACACACCTCAGGGTCGACCCCACCCCAGATCCACCGGAGGAGATGGACACTAGCCAACACAAAAACACGAACAAAAACACAACCAAGACAAGGGGGAGACACACCACACAGGAGAACACCTCACACATACAGTACTCACTAGTAGACCACATTGACTTTGAGGATATGAATGGTAAAACTGCTATGCACAGATAAAAAACACCAAACACCACCCTATTAACGGGGCAGAAAAAGATTACAGGAGCACAACAGACTAGCCAGTATTACACTAACTAAATTTTGAAGGGACCTGCGGGTCCCATTGTTCGCAAATATTAATGTAGATCTATGACGCTTAACTACCTACAGGCAGACAGGCAAAATAGGACCTCCAGATCACATTGCGTAAGAAGACTACGATTAGTCTACACTCTCATGTAAGCTTAACCAAACTGGATCTGCGAATCCAAAAAACATGATATGGATGTATATCGGTTGACAAAAAAAAAAAAGAACAAATGGAGACCTGCATGTCTCACCGCCCCGTCAAACAACTGCCATGTTTGCTTGTTTTATTTGCATTCAACCAGCAATAAAAATTTAATTTACAAAAAAAAGTTTATAATACTCCTGTCAGTGTTTCTATTAGCAGTGATATCGCAGTTTATAATAATCCTGTCAGTGATATCACAGTTTATAATAACCCTGTGTCTCTATTAGCAGTGATATCGCAGTTTATAATAATACTGTCAGTGTTTCTATTAGCACTGATATCGGAGTTTATAATAATCCTGTCAGTGTTTTTATTAGCAGTGATATCGCAGTTAATAATAACCCTGTCAGTGATCTCACAGTTTATCCTGTTAGTGTTTCTATTAGTAGTGATATCGCAGTTTATAATAACCCTCTCTGTTTCTATTAGTAGTGATATCGCAGTTTATAATAATCCTGTCAGTGTTTCTATTAATAGTGATATCGCAGTTTATAATAATCCTGTCAGTGATGTCGCAGTTTATAATAATCCTGTCAGTGTTTCTATTAGCAGTGATATCGCAGTTTATAATAATCCTGTCAGTGATGTCACAGTTTATAATAATCCTGTCAGTGTTTCTATTAGTAGTGATATCAAACTTTTTAAATAATCCTGTCAGTGTTTCTATTAATTGATATCGCAGTTTCTAATAACCCTGTCAGTGATGCAACAGTTTATAATAATCCTGTCAGTGTTTCTATTAGCAGTGATATCGCAGTTTATAATAATCCTGTCAGTGTTTCTATTAGCAGTGATATCGCAGTTTATAATAATCCTGTCTGTGATGTCACAGTTTATAATAACCCTGTTAGTGATGTCACATTTCATAATAACCCTGTCAGTGTTTCTATTAGTAGTGATATCGCAGTTTATAATAATCCTGTCAGTGTTTCTATTAGCAGTGATCACAGTTTATAATAATCCTGTCAGTGTTTCGATTAGCAGTAATATCGCAGTTTATAATAATCTTGTCAGTGTTTCTATTACTAATAATATTGCAGTTTATAATAACCCTCTCAGTGTTTCTATTAGCAGTGATATCACAGTTTATAATAATCCTGTCAGTGTTTCTATTAGCAGTGATATCGCAGTTTATAATAATCCTGTCTGTGATGTCACAGTTTATAATAACCCTGTCAGTGATGTCACATTTTATAATAACCCTGTCAGTGTTTCTATTAGTAGTGATATCGCAGTTTATAATAATCCTGTCAGTGTTTCTATTACTAATAATATCGCAGTTTATAATTACCCTGTCAGTGTTTCTATTAGCAGTGATATCACAGTTTATAATAATCCTGTCAGTGTTTCTATTAGCAGCAATAACGTAGTTTATAATAATCCTGTCAGTGTTTCTATTAGCAAGTGATATCACAGTTTATAATAATCCTGTCAGTGTTTCTACTAGCAGTGATATCGCAGTTTATAATAATCCTGTCAGTGATGTCACAGTTTATAATAATCCTGTCAGTGTTTCTATTAGTAGTGATATCACACTTTTTTAATAATCTTGTCAGTGTTTCGATTAGCAGTGATATCGCAATTTATAATAATCCTGTCAGTGTTTCTATTACTAATAATATCACAGTTTATAATAACCCTCTCAGTGTTTCTATTAGCAGTGATATCACAGTTTATAATAATCCTGTCAGTGTTTCTATTAGCAGTGATATCGCAGTTTATAATATTCCTGTCTGTGATGTCACAGTTTATAATAACCCTGTCAGTGATGTCACATTTTATAATAACCCTGTCAGTGTTTCTATTAGTAGTGATATCACACTTTAATAATCCTTTCAGTGTTTCTATTACTAGTGATATCGCAGTTTATAATAACCCTCTCAGTGTTTCTATTAGCAGTGATATCACAGTTTATAATAATCCTGTCAGTGTTTCTATTAGCAGCGATAACGTAGTTTATAATAATCCTGTCAGTGTTTCTATTAGTAGTAGTGATATTGCAGTTTATAATTATCTTGTCAGTGTTTCTATTAGCAGTGATATCACAGTTTATAATTACCCTGTCAGTGTTTCTATTAGCAGTGATATCGCAGTTTATAATAATCCTGTCAGTGATGTCGCAGTTTATAATAACCCTGTCAGTGTTTCTATTAGCAGTGATTTCGCAGTTTATAATAATAACATAATTTGTTTAGGTTAGGACTCTATCAAATACTCTGTACTCTGCCCTTGGGTTTTTACATCCAAGATGCATTATCTTGCACTTATCCACGTTAAATGTCAGTTGCCACAATTCTGACCATTTTTCTAGTTTACCTAAATCATTTGCCATTTGGCTTATCCCTCCTGGAACATCAACCCTGTTACATATCTTAGTATGATCAGTGTTAAGACACCCCTTGTGTCTTTAAGCGAAACCGCCGTTTAGTTAGCCTTCCCCTTTCGCAATACCAATAACTCCGTTTGCATAGACTGCAGTATACGAACCACCATCAGGGGAAGCGGTAATCTCCCTACCGGGATCCGTGAAAGGCTCCAAACTCCCGAACGGAAATCCACGAACTGCTGCTAGCCACCGAACAACGATATCCACCAAGCAGCTTTCGGTTCCAATAAGCAGTCTCTAAGCGTAAATAAGAAATCCCCCCCAATAACGAGACAGAAGCTCCGCATTGAGGGTCAAACAGGATCTGGCTTTGCTGTGGGCTACCTTCCTGTATTTATGCAGGTCTCCCACTTGGTGGACACTCCCCTAGGGGACCAAATGGGAGACTGTAATGACAGATAGACATGGGGACATTTCAGACATGCAGATGTAACCTTTTCCCACAATGCAATATGGTTTCCTCCCCTCTGCCCTGGAGATAATTGGGAAGTAATTCAATTATCTCCAGGACAAAGACAAATTGCCATCTTAAATACAATACCAGAAAATACATAAAAATACATAACTTTAAAATAACCGAACATTTCCCATTCGCACCACATATCCCCAGATAGCCAGGATCTGAGTGCATATTATTGGCGAATAGCGCTCAGATCCCACACACATAGTTCAATCGCCACGTAGTCAAAGTCCTTACAGTCTTTCGGTATGCGATTGACTCCATGGGAAGGCAATCTGGTTAAGTCCTTTCGTGTGTTTTAAAACTCCCGAACGGCCGGTGTTTGTACGCTTTCGTCGAGGCAGCCAGGCGACCCAGTTGTTTCAGCGGTGTTCGGCAGAAAAAGTGTCCGTCTTTAGTTCCATGGAATCAGTGCCAAACACCGCTGGTCTTTCGTGTGTTTTAAAATGGCCGCTGCCTCGTGGTCGACATTCGAACGACGGCCACCCTGAATTCGGTTTAATTGAGAAGCGTCTGCGGTTAACCACAACGTTCTAATTGGGATCAAGAGGTTAACCAGCAGCACACTTCTTATCCTGGGTGGCCATCCGTTCGGTAGATTTGTTCAGTGAAAACAGTCATTCGTATGGCTGGGCTATAGAAACAGCCATTTACACGAAAGAGGGCAGAAATAGACAAATCCACCACAATAGACAGACAGATGGTTCTCACACGGCTCCCTCCTTGTCGGACACTCCGGCAGACCCGGCTTGACCCTTTGGCGGGTCAACTTGAGGATGACCGGACTCGGACTAGGAGGTGGTGGAGACGTCAGTTTGCCGGGATAACCCATCCGCATTCCCGTTTTGCTTACCGGGTCGGTAGCTGATAGTGAAATTGTAGGGCTGTAGTGCCAAGCTTCATCTCAGCAGTCTACCATTGTCCCCTGAGACCCGGTTAAGCCAGACGAGTGGGTTATGATCAGTCACAAGGGAAAACTCTTGCCCATACAAGTAAGGACTTAACTTTTTCAATGCCCAGACCAAGGCCAAGCACTCCTTCTCCACTGCCGCATAACTCACTTCTCTGGGTAAAAACTTTCGGCTGAGATATGCGACAGGGTGCTCTCCTCCATCTTTCCCGACTTGGCTCAGCACATGGAAGCATCTGTATGGACGAGAAAGCGTTTGTTAGGGACTGGGGCAGCCAAGACAGGGGCATTCACAAGAGCCTGTTTCAGTGCCTGAAACGCAGCTTCACAAGCCGGAGACCACAGGACCTGCTTAGGCAAGTTCTTTTTCGTCAGGTCTGTCAGGGGCTTAGCAATAGTGCTGTAGTCAGGGACAAAACATCGGTAGTACCCTGCCGTCCCCAAGAAGGCCAATACCTGGTTCTTGGTGGTAGGTGTGGGCCAGTTAGCCACTGCCTCTTCCTTGGCTGGCTCTGGTCTCTGGCTCCCACATCCCACTCTGTGACCCAGGTACTGTACTTCAGCCATACCTAGATGGCACTTCTCTGGCTTCAATGTCAGGCCAGCGGCCCGAATCTTATCCAGTACCACCCCTACATGAACCAGGTGTTCCTCCCAGGACCCACTGTAGATCGCAATGTCGTCCAAGTATGCACAGACAAATTCTTGGTAGCCATCCAGGAGTCTATCCACCATCCACTGGAAGGTAGCCGGGGCATTCTTCATCCCACAAGGCATGACCTTAAATTGGTACAGGCCAAATGGGGTGATGAATGCCGACTTGGGGATAGCATTCTCGGCCAGGGGGATCTGCCAGTAGCCCTTACACAGGTCTGTGGTGGTCAGATAGCGCCCCCTGGCAATACGATCCAGGAATTTGTCTACCCGGGGCATCGGGTAGGCGTCAGTGGTGGTCCACTCGTTGAGTCGAGGCCCAAGGGCTGTCGGAGTGCTCGATGAACCCAAGCTGGGTCATCTCCTGTATCTCCTTCCGCATTCCTTCTCGGACTGCTTAATAAGATAAGATAGGGCGGCTGTCGTAAGGGGGTCTGTCCAGGGGTCTCGACCTTATGTACAGCTAGGGTAGTATAACCTGGCTTCTGGGAGAACGTCGCCTGCTTCTCCCACAACAGCTGCTTCGCTTGTACCCTTTCTGTGGGGTTCAACCTGTCCCCTAGCTGTACAAGGGTAGTGAGGTCAGTCTGGTGGTCCCTCTCTAACAAATCGGGAAGAGGTAAATTCCCAGGATCATCTGCAGCCTGGGCACATACTGCCACAATATTCTCAGGTCTCTCCTGGTACTCTTTCAGCATGTTCACATGAAAGGATCTCTGAACAGCTGGCTATCAAGTAAGTATCGCAGATCTGCGCTACTACTCTGTACGGGCCCTGCCAAGATGCTTGCATCTTGTTTGCCTTCACAGGTTTGAGCACCAATACTTCTTGCCCAACCTGGAAGACCCGCTGTCTGGCACCCTGATCGTACCATCTCTTCTGTCTCCCCTGGGCCGCCTGGAGATTCTCCCTTACCATCAGGGATAGTTTCTCCATGCGGTCCCGGAGTTCCAGGACATATGGCACTATGGGGGTCCCCTCCTGCTCCGTCTCCCCCTCCCAGTGGCCCCAGATGAGATCTAGGGGTCCGCGGACCCTTCTCCCATACAGCAACTCAAAGGGGGAGAACCCAGTAGATTCCTGGGGCACCTCTCTGTAAGAAAACAGAAGGCAGGAACCTCTCCCAGTCTCTGCAAGTATCTGTAAAGTTCCTTAGCAACTGCTTGAGGGTACCGTTAAAGCGCTCGCAGAGACCGTTAGTCTGTGGATGGTAGCGTGAGCTAAGTAACAGTTTAATGCCACACACCTTCCACAGTTGCTGAGTGAGCACAGCGGTGAATTGGGTTCCCTGGTCAGAGAGGATCTCCTTAGGGAACCCGACCCTAGTAAAAATTCTAACCAGGGCATCAGCAACCGTCTCTGCCTCTATATTAGACAGCGCTACTGCCTCTGGATAGCGAGTGGCATAGTCCACCACAGTAAGAATATATTTCTTACTGGATGGGCTAGCCCTGGCCAGTGGACCCACAATGTCAACAGCTATGAGGGAAAAGGGCTCCCCTATAATAGGCATCGATAATAATCTAGCATTAGGGTGGTCCCCCGCTTTCCTACCCGTTGACATGTGTCGCACTTACTGCAATACATCCGCACAGCCTGGTTAAAGTTGGGCCAAAAGAAATTATGTGAGATCCTATAGGCTGTGCGGCGGGACCCTAGATGTCCAGCTAACGGAACATCATGCCCTATCCGCAGAATCTCCTGCCGGTACTTTGCAGGTACCACTAGCTGTTGATTCTGTGGAGGGGCAACACTCTTCTGGGAAGGCTTAGGGATCCTATATAACCTGTCCCCCACCCACTCATACCACTCCCCATCTATTCCTTCCTCTCCAGTCTCTGCTCTATCTCGGTATTTCTGGAGAGTCGGGTCCGCCCAGGTTTCCCTCCCAAACTCCTCTGGGGAATCCCAGCTTAAGGGGGCCTGATCTAAGGTACCAGTCGGGGAAGAGGGTCTTATCAGCAGGCAAGCCGGTTCCAGTAGCACGGTCTGAGCACGAGTAGTCACTGGGTTAACGTCAGCAGGACCCATCGGGGCATAGGCGGAAACCGAAGGGGCCAAATCATTCCCAAGAAGAACATCAGCGGGCAAGTCTTTCATAACCCCCACATCCACGTGTCTAGCACCCACTCCCCAATCCAAATGTGCCCGGGCAACAGGTAAGCGGAACACTGCGCCTCCTGCTACCCTCACTGCCACGGTGTCCCCAGTGTGCTGGTGCTCCGAGACTAGGTTCTTTTGGAGCAGTGTCATAGTGGCTCCTGTGTCTCTCAGCCCATTTACCACTCTGCCGTTCAGCTTCACAGTCTGCCAGTGTTGCTGGCGATTGTCCTGATGAGCTGCTTGCACTGGGTCGGCCTCGTGTAGAATGCCCCAGAACTCCTCCTGCTCGATACAGTGAGCAGCAGGCTGGGGTGGCCGCTGATTCCCGCTGGCTGGTCTCCTCCACGACTGGGCTTGATTGGCGCTGTTCAGTGGGCACTCCGGTCGCTTGTGCCCCAACTGTTTGCACCCAAAGCACCGAATTGGCTGCGAATAATCCCTGGCATTGAACCGGGAGGGTTGTATGTAATTGTTCACTGGCGGTACTGCTGGGGTGCGGTTTACTGGGGGTTGGTAGGCTGAAGGTGCTGGAGTTATTGTTGGTCGATACTCCATTCTGGCAAGAACTTTGGTAGCTGTACTGTCCAACTTGCGAGCGTCCGTGTATTCGTCTGCCAGACAGGCAGCCTCGGGTAGGGTGGAGGGTTTCCTATCCCTAACCCACTCCCGGACCCCGGTAGGTAATCTATCGAAGCAATGTTCCAGCAAGAACACCTGCAGCACTTCCTCCCCAGTTACCGTTTGGCATCCTGCCATCCAGTGGGCTGCGGTACGGTGGACCCTGCAGGCCCATTCTACATAAGAGTCACCAACCTGCTTGCTAGTTTCCCTAAAGCGTCGTCGGTAAGCTTCTGGGGTCACCGCATACCTGGCTAGGAGCGCATCTTGCACTGCCCGGTAGCTGGTAATCTCCTCCTCTGGGATGGCCCAAAATGCTTCACTAGCCCGGTCGGATAATTTCCCAGAGAGGATGGTGACCCATCAATCTCTACCTCTGTTTCAACAAAAAATTTAAATGCAGCAAAGGGTACCTTTTTCTTTCCAAAATTGTTATTGGGTACCTCTACTGCTGCAGCTCCTCTTTCCCGGAGCGCCTGGTGTGCCATCACTGCTGCCTGCACGTTCCATAATGTCTGCTGAGGGGTTGGGGCCAAAGTGTGCCAGCCTTATTTGCACTGCCCGGTTAAATTGTATTTCCTCGAGGGTTAAATCCAAAATGCTGGGCACATTAGCTCTCTCCATTCCCTGTGTTGCATCCATCTCCAGTAGCAAAGCAATAATTTCTCTATTTTTCAAATTACTTGCTGTCCGTCCTTGGCGTTCAAGTATGTCCTTAAGGGTAGCACGCCTTAACTCCTCATACTGCATTTCTTTTCACCAAATCGGGATGTGTAGCTGACCTTCTGTGCTGTCGGATTCATCCCGTCGCTTGCGACCAATTGTTAAGACACCCCTGGTGTCTTTAAGCGAAACCGCCGTTTAGTTAGCCTTCCCCTTTCGCAATACCAATAACTCCATTCGCATAGACTGCAGTATACGAACCACCATCAGGGGAAGCGGTAATCTCCCGACCGGGATCCGTGAAAGGCTCCAAACTCCCGAACGGAAATCCACGAACTGCTGCTAGCCGCCGAACAACGATATCCACCAAGCAGCTTTCGGTTCCAATAAACAGTCTCTAAGCGCAAATAAGAAATCCCCCCCAATAACGAGACAGAAGCTCCGCATTGAGGGTCAAACAGGATCTGGCTTTACTGTGGACTACCTGCCCGTATTTATGCAGGTCTCCCACTTGGTGGACACTCCCCTAGGGGACCAAATGGGAGACTGTAATGACAGATAGACATGGGGTCATTTCAGACATACAGATGTAACCTTTTCCCACAATGCAATATGGTTTCCTCCCCTCTGCCCTGGAGATAATTGGGAAGTAATTCAATTATCTCCAGGACAAAGACAAATCGCCATCTTAAATACAATACTAGAAAATACATAAAAATACATAACTTTAAAATAACCGAACATTTCCCATTCGCACCACATATCCCCAGATAGCCTGGATCTGAGTGCATATTATTGGCGAATAGCGCTCAGATCCCACACACATAGTTCAATCGCCACGGAGTCAAAGTCCTTACAGTCTTTCGGTATGCGATTGACTCCATGGGAAGGCTATCTGGGTTAAGTCCTTTCGTGTATTTTAAAACTCCCGAACTGCCGGTGTTTGTACGCTTTCGTCGAGGCAGCCAGGCGACCCGTTGTTTCAGCGGTGTTCGGCAGAAAAAGTGTCCGTTTTTAGTTCCATGGAATCAGTGCCAAACACCGCTGGGCTTTCAGTGTTTTAAAATGGCCGCTGCCTTGTGGTCGACATACGAACGACGGCCACCCTGAATTCGGTTTAATTGAGAAGGGTCTGCGGTTAACCACAACGTTCTAATTGGGATCAAGAGGTTAACCAGCAGCACACTTCTTATCCTGGGTGGCCATCCGTTCGGTAGATTTGTTCGGTGAAAACAGTCATTCGTATGGCTGGGCTATAGAAACAGCCATTTACACGAAAGAGGGCAGAAATAGACGAATCCACCACAATAGACAGACAGATGGTTCTGTCACAATCAGCAAAAAGACATACCTTACCATCAAGACCTTCTGCAATATCACTAATAAAAATATTAAAGAGAATGGTCCAAGTACAGATCCCTGAGGTACCCCACCGGTGACAAGTCCAATCTTTGAATATATTCCATTAACTACAACACTCTGTTGCCTGTCACTCAGCCACTGCCTTACCCATTCAACAATATTGGAATCCAAACTTAAAGATTGCAGTTTATTGATGCAACAGTGTCAAAAGCCTTACTGAAATCTAGATAAGCAGTGTCTACTGCATCAACCTGATCTATAATTTTATTTACCCAATCAAAAAAAATCAATAAGATTAGTTTGGCATGATCACCCTGAAGTAAACCCATGTTGTCTCTGATCTTGAAATCCATGTGTTTTTAGATGTTCAACAATCCTATCCTTTAACATGGTTTCCATCACTTTCCCCACTACTGAAGTAAGGCTTACTGGCCTATAGTTGCAAATGGGCACAACATTCGCTAACTTCCAATCTTCTGGGACTACTCCTGTTAACAATGATTGGTTAAATAAATCCGTTAATGGTTTTGCTAGTACACCACTAAGCTCTTTTAATAGCTTTGGGTGTATTCCATCAGGTCCCATTGACTTACTTGTCTTTACTTTTGACAGTTGAAATAGAACATCTTCCTCTGTAAACTCACATGTAATAAATGACTCATTTATCCTTTTTCTTAACTGAGGTCTCTTTCCTTCATTTTCATCTGTAAATACAGAACAAAAATATTAATTGAGGCAGTCAGCTAGACCTTTATCCTCTTCTACATACCTTCCTTCTTTTGTTTTTAATCTAACTAATCCTTGTTTTACTTTTCTTTTCTCATTTATGTATCTAAAAAAAGTTTTATCCCCCTTTTTTACTGACTGTGCTATTTTCTCTTCTGTGTGTGATTTGGAAGCTCTTATAACTTGCTTAGCCTCTTTCTGCCTAATCTTAAAGATAATTTTGTCTTCCTCACTTTGCTTTTTTTTATAATTACTAAATGCTACCTTTTTGTTTTTAACTATTTTGGCCACATCTTCGGAGTACCACAGTGGTTTCTTGAATTTTTTGCTTTTACTGACAAGCCTAGTGCAACTTTTAAATAATCCAATTTCTCTTGGACTCCATTTAAATTGCTCCAGTCTGATAATGACTCCTCTACACATATTCTAATTTTAGAAAAGTCTGTTTTTCTAAAGTCTAAAACTTTTGTTTTTGTGTGGTGTGACTCACTATTCTTATATTAAACCACATTGACTGATGATCACTGGATCCTAAACTTTCACCTACAGTAATATCTGATAACCAAATCTCCATTTTTAACACTAAATCTAGTATGGCCTCTTTATGAGTTGGCTCCTCAACTACTTGTTTTAGAGACAATCCCAGTAGGGAGTTTAGAATATGTGTGCTCCTTGCACAAGTAGCTAATTTTGTTTTCCAATTTACATCAGGAAGATTAAAGTCACCCATGATGATAACTTCCCCCTTCATTGTCATTTTAGCTATTTCCTCAACTAGTAGATTATCTAATTCTTCAATTTGTCCTGGGGGGCCTATAAATCACACCTACATGAGTTACTGTGTGATTACCAAATTACGTAACCCAAACGGACTCTATGTTCGCCTCACTAACTTTTATTAGGCTAGATTTTATGCTATCCTTCACATACAGGGCCACCCCTCCCCCTTTCTTGCCTTCCCTATCTTTTCTATATAAAGAGTACCCTGGTATTGCTATGTGTAGTGGAGAGGTATCTCCGCTGGGTAACAGGAATAGCATAAAATAATCCAAGGAATTGAATACAGTTTCTCTGCTATGTTTATAAAAAAAAATGGTTAATCCTAGAGGGACCTGGCACCCAGACCACTTCATTAAGCTGAAGTGGTCTGGGTGCTTAGAGTGGTCCTTTAACACCTGGGTAGGCCTCTGCTTATTTGCAAACAATAGCTAATTTAAACAGCAATCAATAGCAAGTAGCTAACTATTCAAATCAAATGCCTTATAATTACCAACAGGAATTCAAACCTTGTGCAATCAGTAACCTTTTCCTACAGATGAATCTTACCTGTAACAGTCAGTGTTTCTATTAGCAGTGATATCGCAGTTTATAATAATCCTGTCAGTGATTTTACAGTTGATAACCCTGTAAGTGATGTCACAGTTTATAATAAAGCTGTCAGTGTATATATTAGCAGTGATTTTGCAGTTTATAATAACCCTGTCAGTGGTTATATTAGAGATATCGCAGTTTATAATAATCCTTTTAGTGTTTCTATTAGCAGCAATATCACAGTTTATAATAACCCTGTCAGTGTTTCTATTAGCAGTGACATCACAGTTTATAATAACCCTGTCTATGTTTCTATTAGCAGTGATATTGATGTAGAATTATTAAAAATCTTTACTGAACTTGTATTGAATAATTGTACTAACTCCATTTTTAATCTCACACTGTGACAGAACTCTCCATTTTGTTCACCTTACATGACAGTATTCAATATAATGAATAAGAGATTGTATTTTCTCTCTCTAAGGACATAACTAGCCCCGGAGTTAGCGGATCTCCGTTGACTTGCAACATAGTATAATCCAAGGCCAGGAGAACAGCGACTAAATGAAATGTTCTATTCATAAAAGAACCTTGGAACAGACCACGAGACTGACATCACTAACTACGTAAAATGATGCCCAAGCCCCCCCTTTCCACCGAGTAAGCCTCGTGCTAAAGAGCAATGACATCCCATGATGGGAGGGTGCCTCACTAGTCACTCAAATCTCTGAGCCAATTAATAATATTAATGGGTGGACACTGACATAGCCACTTAACATTTAACCCAATTAATGATGTTTATTTGTTATTATCTGATATTCAATGATGATGTCATTTTGCATATAAAAAGGCCTGCGTGCCCGCTTTTTAACTAGATGCTAATAAATTTCCTGAAGTGTTTTTAACCTGAACTGCATGTGTCAGTGTGAACTTACTTCTACGTATACGCAATTTATTCATCTCAGATTTGGACAGGAACAGATAGACTTTTAAACATTTTTGTTTATTTCTAAATTAATCTACATCAATTTGGCATCCATCCACGTGGGGCATCGGGCTATGGCCTCCGGCCGGTAAGCCGTCCTAAGGAAGACGCTGTTGGACGGAGGAATCGGGGGGGAAGGAAGAGAGACTGATCACCTCTGAGTACACGGTAGAGACTTCTGCAGGAGCCACCGGTATGTTCCAGCCCCTTTGATTGACCCGTCCACGTGTCTGTGACTGCTTCCCGGGAGGGCATCAAAGACAGGTAATATCTTGCCCGGTGTCTTGTTACCCATTTGTTTACCTGCATTTAGTCTATCTGTTGCCTGGGTGTGCTAGTGGTATATGTTTTGTTCTTTCCCTCTTTTGGGATAAAGGGGGGTGGACCCGTGGGTGGTTGCCTGGGGGTCTTCTGTTGCCTGTTTTTACCCCTTTTTAGGAGTCACTTGGCCCAGACTGTTGGGAAAAAAAGGGGGGGTGGACCTGTGGGGATTTTCCAAAGGGGTCCTGTTTTCCTGTTTACTTCTTTTAGGTACTGTCTAGCTAACAGTAGTAAGGAAAAAGAAGGGTTGGGGGATCTGTGGAGGGGACTTGCCTCCTGGGGTTTCCCGGTTACGTCACTTTGATATTCTAGCTAGCCTCATTGTGTACGTTGCTCTGCTTGCAGAGGTTATGGTACCCTCCAGCTTCGAGCGCTGAGGCTGGTGGCATTCCAATTTATTTGTGGTGTGTGGATTCGGGCAGGCATTGTTGTCTCCATCACCACGGGGTAGTGTGACTTGTGGGTGGGTCCATAGGGAGCACTACGGGAGTGAGGATAGAGGTGGCCACACTTAGTGGACTGCTGTAACGAGGGAGGCATATGGATTTCGGCCGGTGTTAGTCGTTATCCTTGGCCGCTGGTAGTGAAACTTACGAAAGTTGTTCTCCGAGCGGGGACACTACGAGATTGAGGGAGGTGGCCTTGGTGGCCACAAGAGTAAAGGAAAGGGATTACTGTTGATGCATGCACTGTATTTCAATTGAAATGTTGTATTAAATGTTGTTTTAAGTGTGGAGTCATTCAAACTCCTGGGTCTGTCTCTACTTTCACTGTTTACTTTTCCTCTACTTCCTGTACTATTTACACTATCCACTCCTATTTCTCTTGTAAGGGAAGTGATTGGTCACACACTTCTCACCCCGCTCCAATCCGTGGCTACCACCGAGGGTACACGGATTCAGTGACTGGTCTACGTTTTGGGAAGACGCACTGGGGACCCACTGGGAGGGACCCACCCTTCCTAGTGGCAGTCGAGCATTGTAGACGTTCTGTTTCATTTTCCTTTACCTATACTTGGGACGCTCTGTATAGGGGGATATGGGACAGGAAGTGAGTAAGCCCAGTAGGGGCTGGCTCGCGTGTGATTTAGTTGAAGATAGAGAAGGTGAAGAGATGATTAAAAATGTTGCAAAGATTGCTAAAGTGTGTAAAATTGCTGTGCCTTCATGTGGTAGATTACAGCCAGAAAGCTGGCGTAGATTACTGACAGAGAAGAAAGGCAAGCTTACAGATAATGATTTATTACGTACTGCTGAAGCATGGTACAGAGTAGCAAAGGCTATCCAGCAGGAGGGTTGGGTAGAGGAAGAGATAAATCATAAAGGTGTAAGACTGTATGTGTATCATAAGAATTGTGTTACTGGGGCATCCTCTCAGCCAACACCCCAAGATGGTGCCCAGGGGATGTCTATTCCCAAGGTTCGGTCAGCAAAAGGCGACAGCCAGCTGACCATGTTCTCCACTCCCGAACCTCCTGTCACCCATCCCGTCACCTCCCCTGTCTGCCCAGTCCTGAATTCTGACGGATCCTTTTTCTCCCCTCCATCATCCCTAACACTCCCATCATCCCCATCCATCCCTGCATTGCCTTCTGTGACTAATCTGCCTAGTCTGAATGTTTCATCCACCATTTCTTCTCAACACTCACTCTCCGTTGCTAACCCTCCTACCCCATCTTCTTCCACCCAGTTAGCTAACCCCTCCTCCCTTGCTATTGCCAATCCTACTGCACCCACTTCAGCTACTCCTCCTACACCCGTCTCCACTAATCCCGCTCCGTCTTCCCCGTTACTCACTCCTCCCACAGCCCAAGTCCCCACTCCCCCCCCTAATCCTTACTCAGCTATTATGCCCTCCCTTGGTTCCGCCCTAGCCCCTGCCCAGTTTCCCTGGCCATACCCCTTACCATACCCAATGTCCTCGCCCTACCCAAATTATCCCTACCCCTTTTTCCAAGCCACTCCCCAGACACCGGTCATGCCCAGTCCGGCCCAGTCTGCCCCGGATGTGCCCACATCCAATATGGCCACCACTTCTTCCCTTAACCCTAACGCAGCCCCTTTCCACGCCTCCAACATGGCGGCCCCCAGTCATTCAGCACCCCTGATGCCGGTACTTCCCGGTGACTACTCACCACAGGCTCATAACCTACCCGCCACCCCAGCATCTGGGAATCCCTCATTTCCCCCGGTTCTGACACCTCAGGTTATCCCATCACGTAGAAGGGCCCAAACCACAGATGAGGATGAGAATGATGAGGGTTCCCAGGGCTCACTAGAGGTTGTAGAGTCACAGCCCCACCGTTCCATAGATGATCCTTTCGGGCATGCGGGTCGGGGAAATAGGGGGGACCAGGCCCCTCCTAAATATGTTGCTTTCAATCCAACGCAAGCTAGTGCTTTAATAAAATCGCTCCCTGACCCAGAAAAGCAACCTATGCCTTTTTACCAAGGGATAGTTCAGATTCAAAAGACTTATTCCGCAGCATGGCGTGATTTACTAAGCATTTGTGCAATCAAGGCCGGGGATGCATATTGGCCCAGCATGTCCCGACACCTCAATGCCGATTTACTGACAAGTGACACTGATTACCCCTCCGGAGTAACTTTTTGCAGCCAGGTAAAGGAGTGGGCAAAAGACAAACTTGCAGATCAGGCTGCCGGCATTACTGATGTTATACAAGAGAAAGGAGAATCAGTGGAAAGATTTCATGCAAGACTGTTTCAAATGTTTACAGATTTGGGCTTTGATCGTACCGACAAGATTCATTCACAAATGCTGTCAGGTGCATTTGTCCAAGGTGTAAAGGATTATATTCGTAAGGGAATCATTGCTGCACGCCCTGAATATAAGGTAGTCTCTCTGGATACCCTACTTTTAGTTGCCAGGGGTCTAGAGTCTGCACAGGCTCCCAAAAAACAGACTTCGGTTTCTTCCTCAGCCCCTCTCATGGTGTCCCGCTTCACCCCTGTCCCAAGAGGTACCAAACCTGAGGATGGTTTCTGTTTCAATTGCAAGGCTAAAGGTCACTTCAAAAATGAGTGCCCGGAACCCAGAAAGGCGCCCAAGCCTGCACCTGCCCATAAGGCCACAGAAACGGTTCCAATTGTTAAGGAACCAGATGATTAGGAAGTTGGCAAGCCTGTGTCATTAACCCCTGTCATGGCAGTGTCTTCAGGGGATAAAGGGGGGGGGCCACTTGCCACTGTGACTTTACCCATTGAAGGACGAGAAACCACATTTTTAGTTGACACAGGTGCAGCCCGAAGTGTTCTGAGAGAACAAGACCTGCCAGATGCCTCATTCCTATCAGAAATAGATGTCTCTTGTGTTGGAGTGGATGGCCAACCAAGGCACAGTCCTTTAACAACCCCATTGCGAGTTGGCAATTACCCAAACTTGCTTGCTCGATTTGTAGTATCCTCCACATGCCCAATTAACCTGTTAGGTGCTGATGTCCTCTCACGCCTGCAGGCATCTATCACCTTCACCCCAGAAGGTCAAGTAGAATTGTCTACTCCCCTATCTGAATCAGATACCTCAGTTTTGTGCTCCCTACCTCTAGTGCTGCATTTAGATGAACCCCGTGGGGAAGCAAAAGAGCAGAGGTCCAATTTTTCGGATATCATCAAAACAAAGGTACCTGCAAAATTATGGTCCAAAGGCCCAGAAGACATAGGTCATCTGAGAGTTCCACCTGTGGTGGTAAAGCTCATTCCAGGAGCAAAATTACCAAGAAAACCACAATATCCTCTAAAGCCAGCTCAGGCTGCAGCTATTTCAATTCAAATCAAAGCACTTTTGGAGAAAGGTGCTCTTGTGAAGTGTGAATCAAAATGCAACACCCCATTATTTCCTGTGAAGAAGAAAACACCAAAAGGGGAACCAGAGAAGTACAGAATGGTCCAGGACCTCAGAGCTGTCAATGAAGCAACTGTCCTGGACACCCCTATTGTACCAAACCCCCACACTCTGCTATCTGGAGTTCCACCATCTGCAAAATACTTCACAGTCATTGACCTGGCTAATGCCTTCTTCAGTGTTCCACTGGATCCGACTTGCCAATACCTGTTTGCTTTCACTCATGAAATGCAACAGTATACATGGACTGTCATGCCCCAAGGGGCACAAAA